GTGTTGAATTGGCACTGAAGGTGTATCAGTAGTTATGCCTTCAAGTAGCCAAGGAAATGTTAACACATATTGCAAGGAGAGTCAGTGCGTATGCCCTTGTCACTATTATCAGTCAGGAGTAACATATTTTTATTTTTATTGTTTGATCTATCAATTTAGTTACCTCATACTTATAGCTTAAAAAATTTATAACTCTAGTGTAAATACATTTACCTGTGCCACTAAATAAATTTGCTTATTTCATCACATAGAGAATAATCATGTTGTTTTGGAAAATTAAACTAAAAGATCAATATTCTTTTAAGATTTGATTTGATTTAGTCTGCTTCTGACCAGAAGGGAGTAATAGGGACTAGATTTATTCTCCTTTTTGAAACAACTAAAAAACTGCTCAAAATACACGAAACAGTGGTTCCCAAGGCACTGGACATCAGCAGCAAGGACAGTGATCCCTGAGAGATGGAACCAAACAAGGAGCATCAGTTTACTGCCTGGTGAGAGTTGGAAAGCTGCAGGGCATAGAGGAGAACCACTGAGTTGAGGACGCTAGCCAGGGAAGAGTCTAGGGAAACCAAAGGTCAGAGGGTAAAGGCAGAATACCAGACAGGAGAGAGAAAACTCTAGAGATCTACAGAGAGTTCCCTTAAAGTATTCAGCAGAGTACTGATCAGTATAATATCATAGAAACTATCCAAAGCTAGGGAAGGAACTAACAAAAAGCATTCGAGAGAATAGTATTCAGAACCTATACGAGACTGGGAATAGTACTTGTTCCAGTCAGCCAAACTGGAAAAACTCATGATTCTTAGGATTGGTAGAGTACTCAAAATGGTCTTGCGTGAGTACTATGACATAATTAGCTCTAAACTAAACACTCCTCTGGTGTCATCTAAGAAATCTTAAAAGCAAGACCCAAAAGGATCATACTATTTCCAAGTAACTTAGCTGCATCCCAGAACAAAGCTCAAGAATATTTATAGCTGTACTACCCTAAAGGCATATTTAGGGGGGAAAAAAGAATATGTATAGGAATACAAAAATATTCAGTACCCAAAAAGGTAAAATTCACAATGTCTGGCATACAATAAAAAGTTACCACTTCTGATCTTAAGTAGAACCATATTGGAATAAACACTATTTTTACTGGGTGCTTTAGGTTGTATGCCTCATAGCTGATTGAGAAATATCAAAATAACATTCTTAGGCCTTATATATGTTTCAGTTATCGTTTCAACTAGGTTATTTTTTGACTCAAAAGGTGGACTAGATGATTAGTGGTAGTGTAACAGAGGGAATGGCCTTAAGAAAAACCAGCAAAAATATTTTCTGTCTCTTTAAAACTTCCCCGACTCTTTTTGGGAACTGTGGCCTGGCCTATATCCCTGGCAGGGACGATTACAATCATTAACACAGTAGTCTAGACTGAGAACCCACCCTTTAAAAGCTCTGTATTTCTGCTTATCATTAAGATGGCACCTTTTGAGAAAGAGACTGCCATTTTCCTCTTTTGCCAGTAAAGTAGTAAACTTCTCTTTGCTTATCCTCACACTACTTGTTCTTGTACTGATGCATCCTCCAGCTTTCGGTAACAGTTGCATGCATACTTAACTAATTTCCACAGAAGTCGAATAAAGTGTTTGCTTTATCTGGCTAAATAATTGCAATACCCTAGATAATGCCAGCTTTCTCAGAATTGAATACTGCCTAGATAGTCTTTTTTTTTTTTTTTTTTTGAGACAGTGTCTCACTTTGTTGCTCAGGCTAGAGTGAGTGCTGTAGCATCAGTCTAGCTCACGGCAACCTCAATCCCCTGGGCTCAAGCGATCCTACTGCCTCAGCCTCCCAAGTAGCTAGGACTACAGGCATGCGCCACCATGCCTGGCTGATTTTTCGTATATGTATTTTTAGTTGGTCAATTAGTTTCTTTCTACTTTTAGTAGAGACAGGGGTCTTGCTCAGGCTGGTTTCGAACTCCTGACCTTGAGCAGTCCTCCCGCCTCGGCCTCCCAGAGTGCTAGGATTACAGGCGTGAGCCACTGCGCCCGGCTTAGATAGAGTCTTAATTATGAATGTTGACACAGTGGTACACAATGGGAATATTTTTAAATATTTTCATTTATGATATTAAAGATAATGCTAACTCCATTTCTCTTCAGATATACTTTTTCATTAACACTAGGAAAAAAAACTCTAAAATATTCTAAGAAATAAAATTGATTTATTCAAAATTAATTAGATTCAGTAGTAAATTCAACATAGGTTTGGAAATTGTTTCTCAAAGATGAATCACCAAAGATCTGAAACTACATCAAAATGATTATAGGTCAACTATAATGGTGACACAAAAACTATTGTTATGTCTGTCTGAGCCATTAATTGCAGGATTTACAAGTAAACAAAGATGGGCTTATTTACATATGTGATCAAAACATTAAAATATTAATATATATTTTCATCATAATTTGAGAACAAATATAATTCTAGCAGTTATAATTCTTAAGTGTGAAGGCCTGGACATGTACAGAATCTTCCAACAATAGAATTTGTCTCCTTTTTTGTTCCTTCCTAATTCTGAGCATTTTCTAAAACTCTAAGTGTTCTAAGATAATTAAAGCATTTTCTAGCAGGAAGACTTAGGATGCTTTTAAACTATTCTTAGAATTTGTTGGGTGTTATTAAGTGGCAGTTGTAAAATATTTCATACACTCAGATTTCTAGATTTCCTTCTTGCTTTTTGAGACTGATTAGGTAATTAGGTACTCCCTTCTTTAAGGTAACTCAGGGCATTAACTGTGGAGGAAAAAATAGTAAAGCAAATAGTAAAAAAAAAAAAATCTTTGGTACTAAAAGCAGAAGAATGAAAGCCACTCTGCCTGTATGCTCCAACATTTTCCAGGGAAGATATAGGATTAAAATTGACTTCCCTAAAATAACTTAATTCAAAATATCATTTATATGGAAAAACCATTTAAATTCATCCCACTTCTTAGAAAAGAAACTAGTAAAACTGAGCAATTTGTAAGAAGAGATTGGGTGAGTAACATCACCTGTGTCTACAAAGACCTTTGTGGCATTGTAGTTCTTGTTCTTAAACTTGAATATGCAACTTTCTAGTAACTTTGTTAATAATCTGAAACTCTTGCCAATATTTTTAATAGTGTTGTGTTCTGATCCTCTAGTTTTAAAATAATGAAAAAGCAACCTAGGAATCTAAAATCCTCCACCATTTTCTATACTTAGAAGATAAGATTAAGGAAGTCTTAGGAATTGTGCTACCTAAAACAACTTTCCTATAAAATTTAGAGGATAAAATATATCATACACTAGGAAAAGATAATGCTTCTGTTTCTACCTTTTTTTTTTTTTTTTTGAGACAGGGTCTTACTCTGTCATCTGGGCTAGAATGCAGTGGCGCAATCATAGCTCACTTCAACCTTAAACTCCTGGGCTCAAGCAATCCTCCTGTCTCAGCCTCCCAAGTAGGTGGGACTACAGGTGCATGCTACCATGCCCAGCGATTTTTTTTTTTTTTTTAGAGAGATGGGGTCTTGCTATTGCCCTGGCTGGTCTCAAACTCCTGGCTTCCTGCAGTCCTCCAACTTGGGGGTCCCAAAGTGCTAGGATTACAGGCATGAGCCATCGGGCCTGGCCTAAAGTAGTGTCTTAATGAAGATTTTAATTCAGACAAGGTGCAGTTGATTAAAATAATGACCATTTTCCTACATGTTACCTCCATCTTCCCAACAAATGATGAAGATATATGATGAAATTGGTAATGAGGCATTGTAAACTATCTCTACACTCTTACTTAATTTTTGAACCACATATTAAAAAGCATAAAAATTGTTATATCTTTGAAATATAAACCTGACTTGTAGAATTATAGCCAGTATAAATAATCTAAACTATGTAAAAAGCTATATCCCCCAAAATGTTAATCATGGTGCTAATTATAATGGAAAAAAGTGGAAATAATCACAGTGTCAAAGAAGGTTCCCAATAAGGGATGAATACTCATAATATATAAAGAATTGCTACAGCTCAACAACAAAAACCCAACCCAATTGCAAAACAGGCAAAGGACTTAACAGACATTTCTCCAAAGATATACACATGGCTAATAAACACCTAAAAGAGGCTTAACATCACTAACCATTAGGAGAATGAGATATTAATCACACTCATTAGGATTGCTACTATTAAAAAAAACAGAAAATAAATTCTGGAGAGGATGTGGAGAAATTGGATCTCTTATGCATTTCAGGTGGGACTGTAAAATGGTACAGCTACTGTGGAAAACAGGTGGTTTCTCAAAGTATTAGACATATAATGACTATATGACCCAGCGATTCCATTTCTAGGTATATACCCAAAAGAATTGAAATCAGGGACTCAAACAGATACTTGCATACCAGTATTCATAGCAACATTATTCACAATAACTAAAAGGTAGAAACATCCCAAAGGTCTATCCACAGATGAATGGATGGACAAAATGTGGTATATACATGCAATGGAACATTATTCAACCTTAAAAAGGAATGAAATTCTGACACAAGCTATAAGATGGACATACCTTGAAGACATTAGGCTAAGTGAAATAAGACAGTTACAAAAAGACAAATACTATATGAATCCACTTCTGTGAGGTACCCAGACTAGTCACATTCATAAGGATAGAAAGTAAAATGGTGGTTGCCAGGGGCTGGGCAAGGGGTGAGTGGAAGTTATTGTTTAATGGGTACAGAGTTTTTGTTGGGGATAATGAAAATGTTGTGGAGGTAGATGATTATAGTGGTTGCACAACATTGTGAGTATACTCAGTGTCATTGAACTGTATACTTAAAAATGGTTAAAATGGTAAATTTTGTTATGTATGTTTTACTACAGAAAATATATTTAAAAAATAGGTGCCTAGTTCAATAAATAATTCACCTTTCAAAGAAGAGTAACCTAGAAAGTGCTGACCAGTCAACCCCTCCTGCTCTCCCTCCTCCCAGGAGTGACACACGCGGCCATCTGGGCAGCTTGCATCTCTTACCTGAGTGCAGCTGTTCCCCCTGAGCTGAGGACGTCTGCTCAGGGCATCCTGCAGGGCCTTCACTTGGGTTTGGGGAGAGGCTGCGGTGCCATGATCGGAGGCGTGTTAGTAAATTATTTTGGTAAGAATGGTTTTCTCTTTATGCCTTTTTTCTTTGATGAAAACATGATCTTTCAGCAACACCTCAATAAACGCTCAAATTATTACTGAAGATTGCCAGAAAGCTGAACTCCAGAATTCATATTCCCTTTCTAGATTTCATGGTAGTCGTGATTGTAAACAGTGTGCTTAGGTTGTTAAGTCTGTAACTGTGCACACTCCTCTGACAAACAGCTTAATGGGATGTTACATAGATACTTCAGAGGAGCCAAACAGTAAATAAGCATGTGTACTTTTGGCTTAAAGTAAGGTATCTAAACCTGCTGATAATAATACTAAAGGAAAGAAAATCCATCATTGTTCCTTCCTCAAGAGATTCTGAACCAGAGGACTCTAACTATATGCTGGCTTTGGTAATGTCAGTACATCTATAATGATGTCTGTCTTGTCAGATCTCCCTTATTGGACTATATGGACTGGGGTAGAAATGAGATTATTCTGCCCCAGGGATCTTAACTGCTCAGTCATGTATTGAAGGTGGGCCCCAAGATGTGTGAATTATAGCACTATTTGAGCTCTGCCATTCCAACTACAGATTAATGAAGCTGTTTGTTAATAGTTGGATACATTGTCTTTATGAAGAGGAGAGCACCATTGTAGGTAAAAGGCACTCCTAGAAAATCCTCTATAAATGCAGTTTTATAACTGATCAATAACAGATTCAATACCAGCGCCTGGGTCTCCTGATACCTACCCAGTCATGTGTTTTTTCCATTAGTGGAGATAATGGCCAGCCACCTTCTTCTGGTTCAGCCCAAGCTGTGCTTCCTTTGCCCTGAAAACTTTGGAACCGTGACAGTTTTGGATGAGGGCTATCTGCATTTCCTGGAATTGCTCTATAGAGAACTCTGTTTGTTTCTACAGGGGCTGCTGCAACCTTCCGAGGAATTGGCATGGCCTGCCTGGTGATCCTCCTGCTCTTTGCCCTGATCCAGTGGCTAGCAGTGCCAGATGAGGAAGAAGGTGACCGTTCCCATTTTTTCTTGATGGGGAAGTCTACACATGTCCCTCAGAAACCCAGAAGTGGTTATGAAGTATACAATGGGCTTGCTTGTCTAGATTTTCTGAGTGACATATTGATGAATTCATGTGTACCTTTGTTAGAGAGAAGCCATCTACTATGCTAAAAAGAATATTGGTTAATTTAAGTAGCTTGAAGTTTTCTTGTTTTTGTTTTCTTTTATGGTACAAGGTACTAGGGAAGTATTGGTTTTAAATTTCCATGGTATTTTAAAAGTATTTCAAACTTTAGTCAAATACATATAAGGCTGTATAGTAGTTTTACCACTAGGGATAGGGAGTGGTATTCATCTCTATGCCTTTACCTTCATTTGGGAAAAACATCTAAACCTGAAAGTTGACATGTTCCCTGAACCAGGCATGGCCTTTATTATTTAATTCGTTAAATATGAAATGTCCAATTCCCTATCAAAAGTTTAGTTTATTACATCTCAAACAAGATGCAGTACAGATAATCGAAGTATGTGGCTACACTATCGACACAGTTTTGCCATCTTAATGGTAGCTTGTTTATGGCAGCAGCGAAGAAGCCTGGAGAGCAAGTGGCAGTGAAATCATGAAAGGTGTTTTCCATAGCTTGTTGAGAATTGAGTATTTTCCCTTGCAAGAAGTGGCCCAAAGCTGAGAAGAAGTGGTAGTACATGCAAGGTCTGGTGAATATGGTGGATGACAGAGAGTTTCCAAATCCAGCCTTTGTAGATTGAGCAGCGTTGTTTGTGTGACATATGGTCAAGTGTTGTCTTGTGAGAGGATTGGCTTGTCTCTATTGACCAATCTCGGCTGCTTAATTGCAGGCATCCTCATCATTTTGTACAACTGGTTACAGTAGACATCTGCTATAATTGACCAGGTTTCATGAAGCTAGAGTAGATATTACCAGCACTGTACTACCAGACACCATTAGCTTTTTTTGATGAATATTCATTTTTAGACTGTGTTTTGGCACTTCATCTTTATCCAACCATTGTGCCAAACACTTGCAGTGTCAAAAAGAATCCATTTTTCATCACATATAACAATACAGTGTAGAAATGGTTCACCTTTATGTTGTGACAGCAAAGAAAGGCAAGCTTTGAGACGATTTCTCTTCTGATATTCATTTAATTCATGTGGGTACCCATCTACCCAGCTTCTTTACCTTGCTGATTTGTTCCAAGTGGTCCAGTATTGTTGGAATAGTAATGTCAAACCTTGCTGCTAATTCACACATGGGTTGAGATGCATTCACTTCCACTGTGGCTTTCAGTTCATCATTATTCACCTTGGTCTCAGGTTTTCCATGTGGCTCATTTTCAAGATTAAAATCACCAAAATGGAACTTCTCAAACCATTGATATACTGTGTGTTCATTAGCCTCATCCTTCCCAAACACTTTGTGGATATTTTGGGCTATCTGCGCAGCATTGGTTTCACGACGAAACTCGGATTAGAAAATAACATGAATTCTTATCCATGGTTTCACAAAATTGCTCTAAAAAAATCTTTGAAAGATAATCACAAGCCAAACCATGTATTTGAAAGAATGAGGATGTACCTTCACAATAAAAATAAAACAAGAAGTGTTAAAGTGAAATGTCAGACATACCAACTGTCAAACTTGGTATTTAAGGAAATCGGACATTTCATACTTAATAACTTAATAAAATTGTTATATAAAAAGGAGTTTGTAGCAAATAATAATGTGTAAATGTGAATAGGTTGACTCAACTTTTTAATAAAAAGGCCAACCAATAAAATAAAAATATTCTTACTCAGCTCTTGGGTCCCAGAACAGGGCTTGTCTTCTTTGGATGCTGCTATCCTTTGAGGAGCTTTGGCCTCAGTTACCTGAAGTGCTTCCGTTAAGAGAAAAAGTAGCTTGTTATAGGAACCTCAGAGATAGATTTCAATCTGGATGAGTTACTCAGAAAGAAAGACCAATACGAGTGTTTCTTACTTTTGTTCTTTTCATAACCCTAACTGGATCATATCCCTTACACATCCTTGGTCCCTGTCTTCTGTAAAAGGCCAATAAAAATAGCTATCACATGGCTTTTCCTGTATTGATGCTTATCTTTAAAATTGTAATCCTGTAATTGGGCCTAAGGCAACACTCATTTTAATGTATGCGCCACAAATGTTATATCTAAGTTAAATGAAAAATAGATTTCCCAAGTAAATATAAGTTAATTTCCATTAAGTTCTATAAGGAGACCCTGAAAGAGAAACATCATGTTCATTTACTCAGTATTTGTACCAAGTAAAGAAGTCCTTGGTAAATAGCAATTTATTAATATTGCCAAGCACACTAACATGGACGTATGGGATTGTTGGTTCATTTATTTTTTAGCCTTTGTTTAAATATGTAGAAAACTCTGAAAAATGATTTAAATATTATTTTCTTTCCAGATAAGACAATGTTGGCAGAAAGGATTCCTGTTCCCTCTAGTCCCGTTCCCATAGCAACTATTGACTTGGTGCAGCAACAGACAGAGGATGTCATGCCACGCATTGAGCCCAGACTTCCACCCAAGAAAACCAAGCACCAGGAAGAACAGGAAGATGTGAACAAACCAGCCTGGGGGGTCAGCTCTTCTCCCTGGGTGACATTTGTCTACGCACTCTACCAAATCAAAGAGATGATGCAACTAACAAGAGACAACCGTGCTTCTGAGATACAGCCTTTACAGGTAAAGTTCCTCTGCTGGGTTAGCAGTACTACCTGTCATGGCAGATACCTTAAGTAGGCTAAGTTTTTTAATTACTCATCTTTCATTCAACAAGATTTATTGAAAGTCTGGTGGGGGAAATAGGCATGTAAACAAATAATTTTGGTACCCTGTGAGAAATGCATTATAGAGGTGTATACAAAGTTCCACAGAGGGACAGTTCTGCCTTACAGAGTTGGAAAGGCTTCATAGAGGACATGATTCTTTTATTTCTTGAAAGAAATAAGTAAATCCCTTCTGATCTTGTGTGTTTCATTAAAATTTCAGTGTTGATGGAATACCAGTTGCAATGAGAATATATGGTTCTTGCCTTTGGGGACTATATTCATTCACTCTGCAATTCCAAAATTCTAATGGGGGCATTATAACAGGACCATGGTAAATATTTGTTGAATTAATTAATTAATAATCTGAGCAACTGTATGGGTCTGGTAGGACATCTAACTCAGTGGAAATACAGTTGTGTAGGTCGCCTCACATGAAAAATAGAAAGTGTGATTTTTCTTGTCCCTAGAAGAGTGGTCTCTCCTGAGTAAAGTCAAATCATACTGATAAAACAGCGTGGATAATTATATAACTAATGCCGGATCCTGACTTTGGAAAATGAGTGTGACTTCTAAGAATAGTTTCAGCAAAGCAATAAATCCAGCTTCCCCTTTTTATATTAATCACTCCCTTTTACTTGATAAGTCCTGTCAGCTCTATATCTAGGGTAGCTTCAGAGTACACATAAGAAAAAAATAAAAGGGAAAGACTTAAAAATGAAGAGTAAGCTGGGTGTAGTGGCCCATGCCTATAATCCTAGCACTTTGGGAGGCTGAGGTGGAAGGATCACTTGAGCCCAGGAGTTAAGACCAGCCTGGGCAATATAGTGAGACCCCATCTCTACAGCAAATAAAAAGTAACAACTTAGCCAGGCGTGGTGGCACACGCCTGTAGTCCCAGCTACTGGGAAGGCTGAGGAGGGAGAATTGCTTGAGCCCTGGAGTTCAGGGTGGCAGTGAGCTGTGATTGTGCCACTGTACTCCAGCCTGGGCAACAGTGAGACCCTCCTCTCTTTCTTTCTTCTTTTTTTTTTTTTAAATAATTCGAGTAATTTCCCTTTTAGAAAATTTGTTGAACTACCTTAATTAAATTCATCTTGTAAGCTAACATAAAATCTTTGTATAATTTTAACCAAATCTGGTTCTTCACTGATAACCATATGTATGAGGGTCCATGCATGATTCTATTTATTAATTTATCAAGATAATAAATTGACATGAATTTGATGAAAGGATGATTGCTGCTTGAGTATCAATTTTTTCATAACTTTGTGTACTCATCCTCATTTTCACCGAAGCCTGTTAGGTTTAAGCAGCATTTTTTTTCTGGTATATTGAGACTAATAGAAACTGTTAGGTAATTATTCCTAAGAAGTCATTATTCTAAGTTTTTTTTTCACATTTTAGAATCAATCACCAAAATGAAACTTTCTTTTTGGTGTTCAGCTATTGGAAGTGATGGGTACAAACTTGAAGGAAAAGTCATTTAAAAAAAAACATGTTTCCTGTCTTGTAAAACCAATATGGCACTTTATAGAAATTGCTGCTGGTAACATGCTAGAATGAATGTGTATGTTCATGGTTATTTATAGCTGGTTACATACGTGCTTGTTTACATTCCCTTTTTTACATGGATGTTCTGAATTATTTAATTTTTAGTGCATATTTGGAAATCCCAAATGTATATTAGGACTCTTAATCACAGGACATTCTTTGCCTGGCTCTGCCTCTAAGGCTCAGAATCCCTTATTTCCTTGCTGTTAGACAAAGTATCTTCTGGCTCTTGACCTCTGGTGTCTGAGCAAGGGGCCCGAGCTTCATTTATTTAGTGATGCTTGCTCAGTGACTTGCCGCATGGCTGGGGGTGCTCAGTAGATAGTTGCTGATGTAAATTGCCTAGTAGTAACAGGCACTTTGGCAGTAATGTTCTTTTGTCCACAAGATAAGTCTGCTTATAGTGTTTGTGTTTTTCATGCGGCTCTGGCAGTTGCACATAGGAAAGGAGATGAAAGGTAAGACATTCTGTCCTTATTCCTCTATTACTTGGTCCCTGAAATGGGCACTTCAGGATGATCTCCCGATGTTTCCTATATTTTACTTGAAAGCATGTAAAAAGTTTGGGTTTAATTGCTATCACTGACCATGGGGCATCTCCTATTTTTTTCCCTCCAGGGGACCAGTGAGAATCGGGAAGATTCTCCAGCTGGTAGAGCCCGGCCTGTCCCATGTGAGTCTCACTCTGACCCATCTAGAAACCAGCCATCCCCTGACGCAGCAGCATCTCAGACACAGACTAGCCCCCCTCACCCCAGTGTGGACCCGCGCGTGGAGAGTGAGGAGCAGCAGGCTCAGCCAGCTGCGGGAGGACACTGAGGGCGTCCTGCTCATCACACACCCTGCATGGAATTGGGCTCCTCGGCCAGGACACCGGGCCAGGCCCCCAGTGAGGATACACTTCCCCTGGAGGAGCACAGCACTGCATACGCTTCTAAATACCCAAGCTCATTAACATGGAAACACACTTACACAGGAGCTACAGTACATACTGGCGGGAAAAGGTAAAATTCTATAATCCCATTGGAATTACAGCAGGGAAATGGAGTTTAGAGAGGACTTTTCAGTTCTTGGTTGGTTAGGTTAAGCTCAACAGGACTTCTCTGCCAGTGCAGTTAGAGTTGCAGCCAGCAGTTACACTAAGTGAGCAGAGGGAACGAAAGTGTTTCAAGGTGAATGTTGATATGATTTCCCTCTTCTGATTATTTATTCTAACTATTTGGTTCTTAGTGCAAATTGGGAAGAAACAGAATATATCTGTTTCACAAAAACACAAAAACATAATTTTGTTTTTCTTGGAGAGGACCATTTGAAGAGTTATAAGACATATTTAAATAGCAACCAGATAAAAGTTAGTAGCACATATGCTTTTTGTTGAAAAAATAAAAGTTTCATCAGAAACTTTGCATATCTCTAGCAAATATATTTTTATATGTGTATGGTATACAATGAAAATAGTCAATTCTTTGAGCAACAAAAGCTGTTATTGACTACTACAAGCTAAGCTGAGCTTTAAAATGCCTTTTGTTTTAAATGGGCTTTGAGAAACACCAGAAATGAGGGAATATCTCAAATAAACCAACCAACTCAGTATCCTGTGGCTTGACAGACAAGGGTTTACTAAACATATTGATACTGTAAATAGCCTCTAGTGCTATTTACTGTTTTAGAGTGATCTGGGTTCTAATTAGCTGATGGAATAAAATAAAAACATCTCTGAATTCCTAAGAGTTCCTTTAATTAAGCAGTACTATTTACAAATAACAGTATAAGATTTAAGTGCCTGGGGGAGGGATATAATTTTTAAAAATTACATATGGGTCAGTTTTGTTTTGGTTTTGGTGAGGAAAAGGTGGTAAATAGGAAACCAGGGATGGGAAGGATGGCAATAAGAAGTAACTGTACTTTCCAACAACTAAAGAAAGAAAGCTCAGTATATTCTTCCCCATGAAGACATAGTCAGACACTGGACAATTCAGATATGGGTGTATTCCTGTAAATATGACAACTGCAGTCAGAACAATGGCTGTGTGAATCACATGTAAAGCTTGCAGCTGAAAATGAAAGTGAGGTTCCTAGGAAGCCTGGGGGGAGGGCTGTAGAAACGGGAACTAGAAATGGGAATGCGGCATTAGCTGAGTGAAGGTGAGTTATACTGTGTATAATGGCGGTGGATGAGCACAGGAGGGGAAAGGAAAGAACAGAGTTAGAAAGGAGCAACTCACTTTCCCCTCTGGCCCTGATCAGGCAGGATCAGTTGTAAAGTGAGGGCTTCCCCATGTGCCCATGGTTCTGCCCAATACTGCATCTGGGAGAAGAAATTCTACACTTGGATGTCTAGCCTCACCACAAAACACAGCTTAAAAATAAAATCACTGAAAGAAATGGAATTAAGCAAATAGTTATTTTTTGCACTTGAACTGAAAAGTACTGTACTGTAAATTATCATGACTCATTTTAAGTGACCTTTAAAATCAGATGTATTTATTATGCTTGTATAATTATAGAAATAAAGAAATGGGTGACAGGCTGAACCTCACCTATGAATGTACAGTATGTGGAATTGTGAAACTGACTGTAGGAAGTCAAAAAGTTATACTGTATCTTGTGTTTACAGTTCTGATTTACTTCTTTGAAAAGCCTGCTGTTTTGGAAATGCACAGTTGACATGTTGAAATAAAAATAAATACCATTTTTAAATATTTCTTAAATGATAAAGATGTGACCAAACAAATAAAAGTCCTTTACTGTGTAGTGAATGAGACTGAATTCAACACACCTTTGTTATGGAACATTTACTGTGACAGCAGATTCAATAATGCAGTAATTTCCAGCCTTTTGAGCTGACACCTTCATAGGTTTGTGGACTTTGTGACTCTTTCTTCCTGTCCTCAAAGTGCCATATGCTACTTTAAAAAATATTAAAGTGCATTAAAATTAAATTTTGATTTGAGAATTTTATAACCCCTCTTGAGATCCCTGGAAATACTCAGGGGTGTCACGAAGCCCAGGCTGGTAATCACTGTCTTAAGGACTCATTTCCTACTCTTTCCCCTGTGATTGTAGAAACAGAAATTACCCTAGAGTGCTGAGTTTGTGTGGATCCAAAGAGGTTAGTTGCTAATTATTAAACTATTCCTCAAGTCCTTAAGAAGAATGGTAGACTGTAATACATATATTGTCCAACAGGCAGTAAACCTCATGAAAAGCCTAGGGAATTCATAGGAAGACCCATCTTGCTTTACTGGCTTGTTAATCCTGCCACAGGCCTCATGAAGCAGATAGGTGGTTAGAAACTTCCCTCTGATTGCAGTTCCTTCCAGTACTGCTAGGGTGGGTGGGGGCTGCTGGTGGTGCTGGGAACCATTATGTAAGCAATTTTTCTCCCAGATGATCTGAAGTTCTGCAGTGAATCTGGGAAAAGGAGAACCACATCCATGGGTATTGGGTGCTTGTTATGTGCTAATGAGACTATGATTCTGTCCTCACTATAACTGTAGGTGGTACATGTCACTGTCCCAATTTTAAGCATGAGGATTCTGAAGCTAACAGTTTAAGTTATGGGATTAAAGTCACAAAGCCAGGATTACAATTCAAGTCCTCCTGATGCCAAAACTTCAGTTTGCCCAGCACCTTCCCCCAGTCCAGGAGGTGGGGAGGCCATTCCTGCTTCTGTTGGGGGAGAGCAAGCCATAAAGCAGCCCTGGCCTGAACCATTAATGGACTTGCCTGATGTGTAGTTGTATTCCCCTTTAAGATTTCTAGATATTTCCAGATTCCTAGACATCTAGTATCTTCAAACTCCTGATGCTTCGTTAACTGTGAGAATAGCAGACCCTTCACCCTCTGCAGGTGACTTGATGGTTTGGTTACTCTCGGAGCCATGGGAGTCAGGAAGGGCAAGCAGATAAAACCCACAGCTCAGTACCACAAGGCAATGGCATTGTAGAACAGCACTGTCTGGGAAGATGGAAAGTTCTCTCTTTGCACTGTCCATTGTGGTCCATTAGGCACTTGAAATGTGGCTAGTGTGTGAGGCATTAGAGTTCTAATTTTAAACAGCCACTTGTGGCTCATGACTACCATAATGGACAACACAGGTATATAAGAAGAGATCACCTTTGGGAGATTCGCTGGGCCTCCATTTAGTTATCTTTAGCATGAGAGGGTGGAGCCTGAAACTATTACTCTGAAGAAGATGGCAGGCTTACGACAGAACTAACCGTAGGTAAGAAAAAGATGATTTTCCATTCAGAAGTTCTTCAGTTCTTTAGTACATGAGGGAAAGACAAAGGCAACTTCTGAAGCCGCAAAGCATGCCTGTGCTTGCTTTTGCTTTTTTTTTTTTTACTGGCAGGATCAACCAGGTATCATGCCTGTGCTTTTTTTTTTTTATATATCAAATCTTTAAGGATACCCAGCTTACCCCTTTGCACTCGCTTGCTTTTTTTTTTTTTTTTTTTTTTTTTGAGGCACAGTCTCGCTTTGTTGCCCAGGCTAGAGTGAGTGCCATGGTGTCAGCGTAGCTCACAGCAACCTCAAACTCCTGGGCTCAAGCAATCCTCTGCCTCAGCCTCCCGAGTAGCTGGGACTACAGGCATGTGCTGCCATGCCTGGCTAATTTTTTCTATATATATTAGTTGGCCAATTAATTTCTTTCTAGTTACAGTAGAGACAGGGTCTCGCTCTTGCTCAGGCTGGTTTCGAACTCCTGACCTTGAGCAATCCGCCCGCCTCGGCCTCCCAGAGTGCTAGGATCTTGCTTTTTTCTCGATTCCTTTATTCTACTCGGGATTTAATTTTTTAAATACCCCAGAGTTTACAAAGCGCGGCAGTAGAATAAAAAACTGGAGTTTCTTTTCATACAAACTTATTTATTTGGATATTTTTATATTTCAAATTATTGATATATTCAAAGAGTAATTTTAATCTCTATAATTTTTGCTAACTGTGTCGAGTGACACTCGACATCCAAGTGCAAAGGGTTAAGAATTCCAGACCATCAGGCAGTTGGGAGAGAGACTGGTGGCTAGATGGGAACAGAATACAGGAGTAGAAGAAAGGGGGAATGGTTTCTCAGGTTAGAAGATAATTTACATTATGCCAGGACAAACTGAGGCTTATGATAAAGGAGAAACTGGAAACTTACTGATGTCTAGCATGGGAGAAAAGTGAGCCAGCCCAAGTGGGTACTATCACTCAGCTCCCATCTGCTCTGGGCAGCTACAATAGGACCTCTTGCCCCACTGTGGCTCCAGGAAGGTCCCAGTTTTTAGAGGGCAACCCAAGTACTTTATATTGCCGGGGTTGGGAATGTGGGCTCTGGAGTCAGCATGTTTGGATTTGAGTCCAGCTCTGCTAGTGAGAACTTACATGTACACATTAACATAACCTCTCTGGGCCTCAGGGCTCGCCTCTGTAAAGCTGAGGTGATTACATTACCTGCTTTACAGGTTGGTTTGATGTTTAAATGAGATACCTGACACATAGTGCACCCTCCATAAATACTGCCATTGTGTGGCAGAAAGCCCAAGGCAGTAGTGCTGTCTCATTTTCCAGAGCCTAGCTCTTAGTATTTTGTTAACATTTAAACCTATAATCATATTACATACTCCCAATCTACAGTGCCATGCTGTATATAGTTACCTATATCTAGTAATCTGCACAACCAAGCCTTTAGTCCAACATGCATTGTAAACATTAACTGGTTAGAGATATGAATTAGTTAAGAGATAAAATTAAGCAAAACATAAGTTGAAGAGGACAGAGAAAAATGACAAATAATGACAATTCCATAATGTGAAAACTCTACAGAGATGGAGAGGTTATAAAAGGTTATAAGTTCTATAAGTTTCATTTTTCTTTTTTTCCTTAGAAGTGTCAACAAAAGTAAACAGAAGAACTCTAATTATTTAACAAATTATATACCATACTTCCCCAAATAGTCAGCTGAAGATGCTTTTATTTTAAACTGTAAACTTATATTTGAAAAAGGTTGGGAATTTTTTTGTTCCCTGAAAAGATCAATGGAGTCTCAGAAAAATAACATCAGTGCTACTCACAGTGCAGTTGTGGGCTGCTGCTGCCCATAAACTGTTGCTGGTGTGTCCCCAAAATAGAAATTAAGCATTTCAAAATATGTACAGCAATTTGACATTGCCATGACATCATGGTCACTGGGCTTATATTTTGTATGTCTTTTTTAAAAAAACTATTTCATTTTTCTAATAATTTATTTTTAATGTATCTTATGAAAGTATTACTTGTGATGAACTGGGGGGGAACTGGTCCATCACCCAGACAGTCTGACAGGCAATGACCTGGACCATAGTCTACAGTGTACACAGATACAGGGCACATAAGATTGGCATGTGCATAGTATCAGCACATACAGCCATCTTGTGAATGCCTTATCCATGGGGCTATTTCTTTAACTAACTTTTTCAAAAAGATGGCAATAATGTACGTAGAAAGAACATAGGCCCTAGAAGCAGACACACTGGAGCTCTCAAAATCTCATAGTACCAGTTTATCTAGATATGTCCTGCAGCAACCTTCTCATTCTCTTTGAGTCTTTCCTCAGCTATAAAATGGAAATAAACACATGTAACACATGTCACAGACTGGTTATGAGATTCAAATGAAGAGGCACAGAAGGTGCTTAATATAGTGCCTGATGGATCTCTAATAAATGTCATTACTGTCTTCCTTTCTCCTTTGATCAATGCCCTTTTTTTGAAAATAGACCAAATCTACAAAACAGATCCCCCAAATTATTTAAAGAATAAACAAAAAAGCAGCTATCTCACTGAATGCATCTCCCAAGATTTATAATAGTAAATACATGCTACTCATCCCAAATATTTGGTGATCTATTAAGGTATCACATTCAGGCATCAAATCAAAAATATGCAAAGTTACATTAAAGGACAACTTGACTCCTAGGCCAGAGAAAGATGGAAGATTTTAATATAGCTGAGCAAAAACATGCCCACCAGAGGGGGTAGGATATTGATCAATAACAATAGATCAGAAAAACAGCAGTCACAGGGAAAAGTTGGCAGAGCCTGCATAAAGAAAGGGTGTTTGCATTAGACCGCTTGGCCTCATGATATTAATCATGTGAATTATATAACAAACTGCCTTTGTTCTGTTTCTGTTCACCAAGCAACCTTATGATTTGACCCTTCATAAATCTGTCTTCTGAGAGAATCTGCTGGTCATATCAATTCAAGTGTTTTTATCCTTATGCCAGTTATATTTTTGGCTGTGAATCACTATGTTGACTGACTATATGACACAGCTAATAGGAGACAGGTTGTCTTATGGTACAATAACAAAAAATCAGTTTTCTGAGTCAGTAAACCAAGAGTCACACCCAAATGGTTAACTCATCAACATAATGCCACCCAGTAAGGTCTCTCAGATGGCAGCTTGCTCCTGGCTCAACTAAAAATGCCTTTCTTACTGCAGCCTTCTTCAAATTTCCATATCCATTTTGTTATCTATGCACTGGATTCTGCTTTCACTTGGACAAAAAAGCTCATTTATACAATTGTACATCTCTAACTCTGGGGAATAATCACATATGGAATAATACAAGATCCTATTTCTTTTCCTGACATCATTTCAGCGTCTTAATTCATCCACATATTTAGATATATTGATGTAATCCATCATCTATTCCAACCCTCTTAAAATATCTGAAATTTCCAAATTTAAAAAAAGTCATAAATTCAAATATTGTCCTAAATGTCAGATGGACACTCCCCTATAATTCAGCCCTAAGTATTACTGGCAAACTATATAACCAATTCACAAAGCATTTTTTGTGATATGTAAAATGTGTTTTAAAACCTTTTAAAAATAACACTTGAATGATAAGATTGTTTAAGCATGGTGACCTACAACGCTAAATCTCACCCACACATTTGGTGTCAAACAGTCCAACTTGCTAACAACAGTAAGCTTTTGTAGGCACCTAGCATAAGCAATAATACAGCAAAGGGCTTTGTTATACTCCATAATTGCACACCCATGGCAGTGTGAAGCACAAAGCCAGTTTTCAACCACCTGTGAAAGGGCATAGCCATTTTACTCCGTGGTCATTTAAACTGTTTAACTGCCTTTAAAAAGACAGAGAAAGGGTGGAGGCAGAGAAGGGAGAGAGGGAGAAGAGGGAGAAAGAGAAAAAGGAAGGGAGGAAGGAGGGAAAAATCTCTTACAAGAGTTATCTGTAGATTGCTTGATGGGGATTACCCTGAATCAAATGAAAACAACATGAATACACCAAAAATATCACAAGTAATGCTTTTAATTGTTTAGCTTCTTACAGTACTCACATAACAGAAACTGACAAATCCATGATTTCCTCTAAAAATAAACATGAGAAACAATGTCGTGGAAGTCTGTTTTTCTTTTTCTCTCGTCAGCTGTTTTTATCGTGATGGTTACACTGGCTAGCTGGCCCACTAGGAGTTGCTTCCTTCTACCTGCAGCATGTCTTTACCCTGGGGCTCAGTAAAGCCCAGTGGCTGTCCTGACTGGGATGTCCCTGGCTACTCCAGCAGACTGTTCATGTGTTACTCATACATGTTTTTTGTACTACACAAACTGCCTCTTTGCAGATGAACTTGGTGAGCACAAGCATGGATATATCTGATATATTTATAATATATTACCAATAAAAATCAGATTAAACTATAACATAAATGATGTTAGAACTTCTGTTTATAATTGTAAAATAGTTATCATAATAAATCTGAATGGAAGATATGTTCTTTGATTTTAAATCAAAGTCTATATAAAGGGACAGATTGAATTTAGTGAATTGTACCAGAAAAAAAAAAAAAGCTCTAAATATTAAAAGATGTCTGGCAAAAACAATGACTTATAGCTTCCATGAGGAAACATCATTTGAAATTCAATCTAGAAAGTTCCAAATGGGTAGCCATGCTCTTATTTAACAGTACAGAAAAACTTTACTAAATTTGGCTCAGGACAGCAACAGTGACAAAATCGCTATATGTCCCTCCTCCATAACCCTTCTCTTGATAAAAGTGGATGGCTCTTTTTTCTTGGAGACAGAATCTGGCTCTGTCTATCACCCCGGGTAGAGTGCAGTGCATCATCATAGCTCACTGCAGCCTCAAACTCCTGAGCTCAAGCGATCCTCCCACCTTGGCATCTCAGAGTGCTAGGATTCCTCATTCTTTCTGATCCCGTCACAGCAAAAAAGACTGAGTTTGACTGTCAAAAAGAATCAATTTAGCAACATCTTTAACCCTCTGAATGTTTCTGCCATGTCCAAATCTTTTCTCAGATCTCTGTTTTGGCCTCCTCTCCTCAGGGTCACAGCTCACAGTCCCTCATTTCACTCCAGAGTTTAACATCACGAATTAAGAAAAACATATTTTCTCTCTGTAAAAAAGATCACAAATCTGTTTTGTAAAAATTTATTAAAAGCATATATAGCTAAACAACTTTTAAAAATGGATCAGTCAACTCTGAAAATGTCATTAAGAGGTTAAAGACCTTCAATTTCAAAATATAAAAAAAGACATGTATGTATATAAAAATCAAAACTTTAAAATATAATCTTAAAAAATGTTTCTCTTTATCACAGTTATTAAGTGGCTAGTTGGCCATTATTAAAAAATAAAAAAAGTCACCAACATCATGAGACCCAAAGCTGTAGGAAGTTGGCTCCTCAGCTTGCATCTAGAGATCTCTTCTTCAACCTGAGTCAGAGGACATGCTAGCGAGGGCTGGAGTTCTGCCAGTGCTGCCTCTAAATATATTAGCTCGGTGGTGGTGCACAAGTTATTTAACCTCCCCAAACCTCAATTCCACCATCATTAGCATTTTCCAAACATGTGTTCCAAGGAATATTCATCACATGAAAAAGGGTTCTGTGGTCAAATTAAGTCAGAAACCACTGCACACAATTCCCCTTTAGGAGATTCACAATGTGCATTAGCATCAGTAAAGGCACTGAGAAGTCCTAAAGTAAATTTGTTTAACTTTGTACCAATCTTAGTCAATCTCAGGATCCCCTTACTGACTCACACTTATGGGTATACTGTGGACTACGGACGCTTCAGAAAACACTGGTCCAGCATATTCCAGGTGTCCTCAAGCACTTATATTGATGAAATATAGGAAGAGTAATGCAGAGTCTTATGACGTGGGTTTAGAGGATTAAGAAAGGATTTCATTCCCTGGTGTTGACAAGGCAGCAGTTCATGTTTACTGGCACTTTGAAGAACATGATTCCCTTGTTCCTAATGAAAGTCTTCATTTAAGGAAAGTGGTAATGACTCTGTCACAGAATCTTGGTGCTCACCTACAGTACACAAAAGTAACAGAACTCTCCAAGAATGGTAAATTGTTTTCAATACAGGTTAATTTTCCTTTCCATCATGACTTATTTTTCTCGACAGCAAATGCTTTTGTCATTGTTCACTAGAAAGAACGTTTCTGCCCAACTTTAATAGGATCCCTGCCCTTTACCCACTTCCTTGTACACAATGAAGTCAACTTGCAGGTAGAGTGTCAGTCCTCAGGTTAAAGAGCTGCTCTTCCAAGAAGGCACCCCCAAGGCCATATTGTTCTTCATGCAGACTGATTTCTTCAGGTGACAAGTGGCTTTCTCCAAGAACAAAATCTGCAAATCTAATCAGTTTTTTGAGAGTTTTAAATAAAGTTAATGTTATCACAGAAAGGTTTATTTTGTTCCCTTCCTACTTATCCCCTTTAATTAAATCTGACTTTGTGTCAATAGAAGATGGCATTTACACAGTGGGTATAAAAAGGAGAATGGCTTATGTGATCCTTCTAGAGACAATTATTCAGGGAAACAGTAGAGAAGTAGGCAGACTTATAAGCATCAAGTGCAGCCAAATGCTCCCACTGTTTTCTAATTCATTCTCTTTTCTATTTTTTTTATTACTTTAGATTTATTATTTATTTATTATTTTAGTGTCAAATACTTTCTCCCTTCAATCTTTACTTTGAGGGAATTCTTACTTGGATAAAGCTATAAGGAAAAGAAAGCAGCAAGGAAAGATGTTGGGGCAGACATATCTTCTTGGTGAACTTTAGAAATGATTTCCCACACCAGTAGAATGAGAAGCATGTCACATATCCCATTCCACCTTTCCCTTCCCAAATGGAAGTTGTCTTTATGGCCTTCCCTATAAAACATCAGGTCAATATTTATTCAGACATTAGCAGTTCTACTGTGCAAAGGCACAGTACTGAAGAAAAAGAACCTCCAACAACTTCCACATCATCAGTTATCCAGGGAAGTAGCCTACTTCTAAGCTCAAGTGCCTATACCAAACCATCAAACTATTTCCGAAATCATTCTAACCCAAGCTATGGTCAGAGCAGCTGAGCACGACTTACTTCTTAGGAGTCTGGAGTCTGGAGACGACCAGCCATGATGGGAAGTCGGGTCTGCGGCAGGCTTGGCGCAGTTCCTCCAGAGCGCTGGTTGTTTGAGTGTCAGCTTGTTCCCTGTATTCATCTTCAGTAAGGTAAGTAACCACCAGCTTTTCTGATGTAAACCACTGCTTCATTTTCCTAAAACATTTGGCATTTGGTTGCTACATTCCTGCGCAATTCAATCCTTAAGACTTAAAATATACATTTCTTAGACAGTAATAGTAATACTTAACTTCCTTTATATCATACCTATCCTTTTTATTGTTGTTATCATGACTCAAGTATAGAGAAAACACAGTGTGAGCCAAATAGTACATTTTCCCCCACTTCCTGGGGAATGTCCTAAGGCATTAGGAATCAATCTCTGACAGAGATGTTAATTGCAGTTTTCTTCCTTGGTGATTTTTAATCACGCAATCAGACAATTAAAAGTCTGGCTTCTTTATGCTTGGCCTGCTGATTTTCTTGGGCACTAATAGAAGCAAGCTTTAGAGATGTCCTTTTATGGAGACTCAGTAAAACACACACCACTTACTACTCTCTAGACCAAGAAGCTGGGAAGATTTGTGGGGTATCACTTCCACCTAGTGGTGGTGATTCTGAGTAATCCTAGAGAGAAAGAGTAAATATTGTAAAAAAGTCTCTTATGTACATTTATAATAATTTATAAATAATTCTTATATTTTAATATAAGAATAATTATAAATATTCATTTATAATAATTTATAAATAACTTATAATAATTTTCTTTTACTACTTGCTGAGGAGCTCAGGATTGCAATTTTCTTTTTCCAACCAGGAAAGTCCTAAATCTCATAAAATGTAGGAATCTCAACATTTAGGAATCTAAGAATCTCATAAAAATAATAATATAAGGTTTTAAAAACATTTATGTTTTGGCCGGGCGTGGTGGCTCACGCCTGTAATCCTAGCACTCTGGGAGGCCGAGGCGGGCGGATAGCTCGAAGTCAGGAGTTCAAAACCAGCCTGACCAAGAGCTAGACCCCCATTAATTGGCCAACTAATATATATAGAAAAAATTAGCCGGGCATGGCAGCACATGCTTGTAGTCCCAGCTACGCGGGAGGCTGAAGCAGCAGGATTGCTTGAGCCCAGGAGTTTGAGGTTGCTGTGAGCTAGGCTGATGGCATGGCACTCACTCTAGCCTGGGCAACAAAGCAAGACTCTGTCTCAAAAAAAATAAATAAATAAATGAAAAAAAACCCAAACATTTATGTTTTATTTATCGATGAGTTTTTAAAAATGTTTTTGTGGTTTTAAATTTAATTTAACCAGAAATTTCCAAATCTGAATGACCATCAGAATTACCAGGAGGTTTTAAAAACATGCATTTTCTTGAAGATTGAGATCTAAAAAATCTATTATCTTTTGAAGATCTTATGGTTGACAAGCTAGATTAAGGAACTACTGACATTATTTTCTTCTCCTTTTCTGAATACCTACTTACGGTTTCTCTGGAGGGAAAATCCTGGACTCTGAGCCAGAAGACCTAGACACAGTCCTGGCTTGGAGGTTTACTCACTACGTGAACTTGGGAATTCCTTAAGAGTTGTGAGCCTCACTTTGCTCATATGAAAAAAATGAAAGCAATAATTATCTACCTCATGAGGTTACTGTACAGATTAGCTGAGATATTTTGTGTAAGGTGCTTATAGCATAGTGAGTGGGCTATAGTAAATCTTCAATAAGGCTAATGAAAAGAGTAGCTACCATATATTATTAAAATATGCATAAACAGCTCTTTACAAACTAGAAAGTACTGCACAAAAACAAGGTATAATTTCTCTGGTTTATTATCTAACCTACAAGTTCCTGTTTTATTCCCTAGTTCTTCATATAATTATTCTCTAGCAAAATTTAAAGTTGAGGAAGTTATACCACATTTTGATTATTACAGAACACACAGCAGTGCACAAAAGAATCATTGTGCAGAACACACTTTACTCTTGGCAGGGCAGCTGGATGGTTAAAGGGGAGGCAGGAGGAATTCTATGCTGGGTTCCTTAGGCCACAGCCAACGGCTTGGAGGATGTAGAATGGCCAGCCTCCTTCTGACAGAGAGACCTCTGATAATCCCAGTCACTGTCTGCTTCGGGCAAGGAGCACAAAGACAGAAACAGTCAACAACCCCACCAACCCTGCCCTGCCTTTCAGCCTCTGTGCAGCCTGTCCTGCCCCTGTTGCATTTAAAAGCTTGTGATATTTGCACACACCCGGGCACCAGATCCATGAACTACCAGTCACCAAAGTCTCCTTCCTCACAGACAATTTTATGCCTCGAACATTTATTCTCTCCCGCTTTCAGCTCTGGTCTCACTGTCCTACCCGAGGCCCTCATCGTCTCTCACCTGGACCACTGTGATGTCTGATAACTGGTCTCCTGCCATAGGGCCTCCCTCTGATATCCCTCTGCCAGAAGACAGATGGGGCACATCTCACCAGCCAATGAGTATTTATGGTGTCCGATTTGATTTTTGTTTGTTGAATGTATTTTTATTTTTCATTAGATTAGCTGCCAATATTTAAAAACCCTAAGAATTTACATTCTAATCCTAATTTGCATTTCTAATTTTTCTAGAAAACCAGCAGATCTGGCAATGCAGGACCCATATTCCCACATGGCAACAATCAACCCAAGCTGAGTGATCACTACCCCGTCTTCAATGAGGCTGCACTGCAGAATTTCCCACAGCCCTCCCAGTCATGCCCCACCTCAGCGTCACTTACCAAGTATCTACCTGGGCCCCAAGCATCTGTGATTGACAACTCCTATCTAGGCAGCAGTCAGCACTAACTAAAATACATAATGTTAACCCCACCATGTACAGGATCAGACAAGGGTCCTCAGCATGACCTGCCATGCCTCCACCATCTGGCCCATATGCACCTCACTTGCTGTATCAAGCACTGCCTGCCACATGATGGTACCAAACGGGGCTTTCTCTCTGGCAGGAAGGCCCTCCACATTTATTCATCTGGTTATTTTCATTCATTCTTTAAGATTCTGCCTAGTAATATATCTTCCAGGAAGTTTTCCTAAACTTTTTCTATATTCCCTTAGTCCCTGGGCAAGCCTCCATTTTCATTTTAACACTTCAAAGGGACAGAAATGTATGCCTAAGTCTCAGCAAGTATACCCCAAGGACAAGGACCATCTCCATCTGTGCACCTGATATGAACACAAGTGTTCAGACTCAGTGACTGAGAGAGACGTAACAAAGCTGTGACAATAGAGGTTACCTGACCTTTCTTTTTGTACTTCAGAGGGCTTGAGCTTTAACTTAAAACCTAAGAGAAAAAAAGGTCCTAAATATAAATAAGACCTTTCAATCATTTATGATTCATTTCTGTTTGCTCTTACCTCATAAGCACAACTAATGCCACTAAAGCAGTCTTTGGCTCTAATGAAAGGAAATGTCAACTAAAAGTAGAAATTTTAGGTAACCCACACAGAACCGAAGTAATTTTGTCACTGATTTTAGTAAATTCTGGGTGAGCCTAGGAATGGAGATCGGATCAGATGCTTAGAGCTCTCCTTCCTCCCCCTTTCTCAGAGTGAAATCTCCAGGTTAAATGTAATTATGAGATCAAATATGACATGTCCAAAAAATCCCCCAAAGCAATAAATAAAACCACAGCTCAAAATATCAAATTGACTAGGAAAAAAATGGATACGCACCACCTCACATAACTGAATGCTTTCAGCAGGTAGCACAGGCTCCTGGAGAATAAGAGGAGGGTCACGGCCACACAGGCAAACTGAGGCATGGCCACACCGGCATAGACCAGGGCCAGGGAGAGGAGCTGCAGTGTCCACATCAGAAGACACCTGCTCTTGTCGTCCACAAGGGGCCCATGTTTGTAACAGGCAGCAAAGCTGAAAAATCCAACTATCAGAACATAGCCTGGAAAGCAGAAGAGGTAAAATAATGTAAATCTGAACTTGCAAAATTATGTGAAAAACCTGGCAGAGCCTTGGCTTCAGTAAGAACACATTAGAAAACCGTAATTTTTGTTTTCTTTTCCCAGCGAAGTAAGGTTGAAAAATGCATATATGGCCAGCCAGTTATTCCTCCCATATGAGACACCAGGCTGACTTCTGTAATAATTATATTACATAATTAATATAGTATACAATAATTATTATTGTGATTTATAAGCATGTCTGTTTTTCAGTCCAGTGTGTTACCGGGGCAAATGTTATCATGGTTGCTTTGGTGAGGAATAAGTACAGTTGTATGTCATAGTCTGCTACAAACACTATTTTTTATTTTTACCTTCTATATTTTACCTTCTTTATTTTATTTTTACCTTCTAGTCATAAAAGCATAATGTAATTTTATAGTGGAGGGATCAGGCAGTCACCCTCTGAATCCAGTGTTCAGTCTCATCATTACTTATGGTAGGACTATAAAATTCTTGTTTCCAGTTGTGATCCAAGATGAAACACACATTGCCTCTTATGTATTCCACCAAACATTTTTAATTTGTATCTAACTAAACCTCTAGATCTAATTTCCAGTTTATAGGAAACACAGGAGAGTTAGGAACATGTTAAATTATACTACAAAGGAGTCATCAGATAAATCCAGAAAGTGGACATTCTATGGGACAACTAGCTTTGTCTCTTCAGCATATCACCATGATGAAAAAATGAACTATTGTGGATTAAAAGAGATTTACAGGACAAAACAAATGCAAAATGTGGTTCTGGACCAGATCCTAGTTTATACATGCCATCAAGGATGATTGAGAAATTTTAACATGGCCTGGGTAATAGATGATTTATATAATTATTACTTTTTTAGATTTAATAGTTAATTGATTATATAGAAAAATGCTCTTGTTTTTCAGAGACGAATAGTGAAACATTTAGGAGAGCATACCATGATATCTGCAATTTCCTTTAAAAATGCTTTAGCAAAAAAAAAATGATCTAAAAACAGAATTTTCAAGTAAAACAAAAGGAGTCACTTTTATTTGGGGGAGGTGGATTTACATAAAAAATACGGTGCTAAAGAGTTAGGAGAAAATCAATGATCTTATTCTTCATTATTTCCTAATTAAAACAAATAATAAGAAACCTTTTTTTTAACCCTAAATAAGAGAAGTCAATACTTTCTTAGCTTCTCTGTTTTTGAAAAGCCAAATTTTCATTAGTCATATATAGTTAAGATTTCTCACTTTTCCTACTGAAAACATTAACAGAAAGAAATAAAGAGCCACATTTTAGAGAAACTTTTACATTACAAGTTAGTTGTGGTTAGAGCTTAACCACAATTCAGAAGCATGTGCAATCAAAACAGACAAATACTTTGCTTTTTTGATCATTAGAATATAAAACTTAGAACAATGGCATAGGGAAATCACATAAAATGAGATCTAAATAAACTGAAATCACCAACTATGGAATAAAATAAAATATTGCTTTCAATAGTACCTCTCCTTAGTTCAAAAAGAAAATTTAGATGTTAGAGAGAAACATTTGTCAAAAGAAGACCTCTAGTTGTACTTCTCAGTTTTATCAATAATAGAACATTTTTTTTTTACATTTACCTACCTAATATATATATTCTGTTTTCATACCACAGCCACTTCAGCTCGTCCATCAACTGGCACAAAACATACACTGAAGCAAACCAACAACCAACCATTAGAGCCCAAAAGGTGCTATACTGTGTGTGGAAGAAAATAAATGACACATTTTTTTGGTTCATTCACTCTCATAAAAAATAGAAGCAAACAAACCCTTTGTATTAGACACTTCTATGTCAAAGTGAATTGAAGTCAGTTTAAGATACTCTCTACAGTCTTCCCACTCAAGGTATGGTCCATGAACGAGCAGCATCAGCATCATGTGGGAGCTTACTGGGATGGTGAACTCTCAGGCCCTCCTGCGGACTGCTGAATCAGAACCTGTGTTTCAACAAGATCCCCAGATGGCTTGCATGGATATTAAAGTTGGAGAAACACTGTTATAAAGAATAAGTTTATCTTAAAATAGTGCTAGTATTGCAAGCTTTAATCAGAATAACTGCAATATTACCATGATGAATTAGTATTTATTCATCCTTAACTATGTTCAGGGTATTATTTTATTAGTTTTTCATGTCTATGAGATCATGGTTTCCATTTTTTATTCATTTGCACATAGTATTCCTACCTTTGGAATATATCTTTTCACCAATAGCAGGACAAAGACTGATGTCATTAGAAGACCTAGCACGGTCCCCGAAGAATAATAGAAAATAGGGTTTCTGTTAAGACAAGCAGATAAAATTCATTTAAATGCCAAGAAGTACTTTCAGTGCGAAAATCGTTTAACCTGTCAACAATAGCCATAAAGAACAACAAGAAAGAAAAACTCAGATGGCAGCTCTAGTTACAGCTTATACTTTTAAAAAATAAAATTGGTACTTGAGCTCTTCCCCTCAAGCGGCCTGAGGTGATTCGTGAAAATGGTTCGCTATTCACTTGACCCAGAAAACCCCACAAAATCATGCAAGTCAAGAGGTTCAAATCTTCGTGTTCACTTCAATAACACTCGTGAAACTGCCCAGGCCATCAAGGGTATGCATATACAAAAAGCCACCAAGTATCTGAAAGATGTCACTTTAAAGAAACAATGTGTACCATTCCGACGTTACAATGGTGGAGTTGGTAGGTGTGCCCAGGCCAAACAGTGGGGCTGGACACAGGGTCGGTGGCCCAAGAAGAGTGCTGAATTTTTGCTGCACATGCTTAAAAATGCAGAGAGTAATGCTGAACTTAAGGGTTTGGATGTAGATTCTCTGGTCATAGAGCATATCCAGGTGAACAAAGCACCCAAGATGCGTCGCCGAACCTACAGAGCTCATGGTCGGATTAATCCATACATGAGCTCCCCCTGCCACATCGAGATGATCCTCACTGAAAAGGAACAAATTGTTCCAAAACCAGAAGAGGAGGTTGCACAGAAGAAAAAGATATCCCAGAAGAAACTCAAGAAACAAAAACTTATGGCACGGGAATAGATGTAACATAAAATAAATGAAAATAACAGTAAAAAAAAAAAATTGGTACTTGAAATTTATAGTAAACAGCTTGCCACTAACTAAAAAGGAAATGTCTTCAGTTACCTTCTATATTCAGAATCTGATATGACAATAATTATTGCGTGTCTATGGATAATTATTGAGTATCTATGGATAGCTGTTCCTTATCCATGTCCAAGTTGTATAGAGGGGGAAACTAGGGCACCAAGAAGTTAAAAGACCTTCTCCAAGTCAGTGTGTGCTAACTGGAGGACTCAGGATCACAGCCCAGCATCTCTGAGTCCAAGCTTTACCCTTCATGCTATGTATACATCTTCTGCTTTGTAAAGGTCATGGATGACATTAAACACACTTGATAAGCCTATAAAGACTACAAGGAAAAGCTCAAAAATGAACAATGTTAAGAAGAGTTGACCAATGTTGGGTACTAACTAGCATCAGCAAGATACTGGAAAGAGATTCCTTTTTCATAAAAGAAACTGTAAGAAACAAAATATCAGAATAATATGTTTATCCAAGAGTCAGATATTTGTTATATTCAACCTTCTGTCTCCACAAATGTAGGAGGCAGCTCTGATGGAATACAAAGCAAGGTGTCTGGTACCAGAAAACCTGAGTATAAATCTCCGCCCTGATAGAAACTAGTTGTGTGACAATAGAGGCTGGTTTTCTCATCTATAAAGTCAGAACAGTAATACAGAGCTCATGTAGTTGTTATGAAGATCTAAGAAAATAAGATATTAATGTGTAAAATAAAATATGTGAAAGTACTTTGTAACATATACATATCACACTATGCAAAAAACTGTTAATGTTTTTTAAAGATCTTTCAAGCTCTATCTTCAGACCTATTATTTGCAAAACCTAAAGCAAGAACTACAACCGCATAGTAGTGTGAAAATATTGAGCATACAGTCAAAAAATGACCTATACCCCTTTTTAGGTATAGAATGTAAAAATAAAAATGAATACTTACTGGCTCAGGGTCTTTGCATAAAAGAAAAGGAAAATGCCTGCCACAAACACAAGGAAGAGTTTGAAATCCACAACTGGAGTAAAAAAGACATACAACAAACATTTTGTGTCAATGTAGTGTGGTGAAAGAAAAGAAAATTCAATTTATTGAAATATTACTCCAGAAAAACTGAATCCAGAAAATATAATAAAAACAGACTTACTATTTCGACTCATGCTTATTGTATAGCTAAATATCTTCTTGGCAGGCTCCACAGAGAAGCACATAGTCTCCCGATAAGGATTGATTATTATAGTTATTTCATTAGACTCCTTTGGTGTCCAGAAGTTATGAATCACGCATTTGATAAAAGATAGAATGGTTTCTGGATACTGGCAATTATGTCTTTCTGTTATATATATAATACTGAGCAGGCCTGGACTGGTAATTTTCACCTACAAAAGAAGAATAAACAAATCCATAAACACAGAAGTAAAAACTTCTTCAAAGCTTCTTAAAAACATGAGCAAATAAGTAAAAAGAACCCAAGACTGGCTGAGTAAAGAATGTGTACGGTAGTATTTTGATCCCAGGGGCTGACCTGACATCTATGTTTAGTCCAGACACACCGTGGACTATACAGACACTTTTGAAACTGAAGGTTTCTTTCAGCCAGAGGACTGAGAAAAAAAAGAAGTGAAGATTTCTTCCACCAAGTTGTGGTTGATTTAACTCCTTCTAACAAGTTATTGTATCCAACAGACATATTAAAAAGGATGAGATAAGAAGCACAGGCATATCTGATTTTATTGCATGCTGCTTTATTGTGCTTAGCAGATGCTGAGTTTTTTACAGACTGAAGGTTCATGGCAACCCTGCATATCTAACCCTTGCTAATAGACCGAGTAAGTCTATTGGTGCCATTTTTCTAATAGCATGTGCTCACTTTGTGTCTCCGCATCATCATTTTTTCAGAAATGACGTATTTTTAAAATTAAGATATGTATATTGTTTTTTAGACATAATGCTATTGCAAAATTAATAGACTACAGTACAGTATAAACATAACTTTTATATGCACTGGGAAACCCCAAAATTTGTGTGACTTGCTTTATTACAATATTCACTTTATTGCAGTGGTCTTTGACCAAACCCACAGTATTTCCAAGATACACCTGTCATGGCTAGCAAACTATTTGGTTATAAACATAATAAAAATAGTGTTTCTATCTCTACCATTTTTCACTGTGACTCAGAAAAAGTGCTTCCTTTCTCTGGTCAGCTGAGCATATGTAAGTCAGGCTTCTCTCACTATGCCTGCTGAGAGCCCAACTTCAGGTCCTATTCAAATTACACAACAAAGCACTGGCTATAAGCATATGGTGTCAACCCAGTAGTCATTAAGTGATAATTCCCCTGCTGTAAAGCAAAGTAAGAGCACTAGCTTTGAATCTCAGGCATCAAGTTTTTTTTTTTTTAGACAGAGTCTCGCTTTGTTGTCCAGGCTAGAGTGAGTGCCGTGGTGTCACTAGCAACCTAGTCAGTGCCTAGCTCACAGCAACCTCAAACTCCTGGGCTCAAGCGATCCTCCTGCCTCAGCCTCCCGAGTAGCTGGGACTACAGGCATGCACCACCATGCCCGGCTAATTTTTTCTATATATATTAGTTGTTCAATTAATTTTTTCTATTTATAGTAGAGACGGGGTCTCGCTCTTGGTCAGGCTGGTTTTGAACTCCTGATTTCAAGCAATCCGCCCTGCCTCGGCCTCCCAGAGAGCTAGGACTACAGGCGTGAGCCACCACGCCCGGTCTAGACATCAAGTTTTATCACTCACTACCTACCAATTCCCTCATTTCTCTTTGACTTTGGCTCCCAGCTCACTGTTGCTCTCTCCAATACTATTAATACTTCTTATCCTTCTTGGGGATTTCAATATACACTATCAAAACTCCTTCTAGTACCTTGGCTTCTCAGTTCCTGGAACTCCTTTCCTCTTATGTTCTTTCTTCCACCCCACCTTAGCTAATCCCTCCCATGGCCACACCATGGATCTTGTCAGTACCAAACTGTAACCCTCCATATACCATGCTTCATGCATCCCACTGGGTGATTGCCACATTCTATCTTTCCAGTGTGCCCCCCCCCCAGCACTCCAACCTCACCAAGGATCGGAACACCCTTCCCCTGGTCCTCACCCAGTCCCTTCGTACCCACTAAATCCTACGATCAATCATTATGCACCATTCCCTGGCATGTACCCTTGAATCTACTGCTCCCCTCTTGCTTTGTCACCCTCACTTCAAAATCCAACTCTTCACCTATTCTACTCTTGCCTTTGCACCACCAAATGCACTAGAGAAACACACAGTGGTCTCTTTTTAAAATTAAGGTATGTATATTGTTTTTTAGACATAATCCATGACTATGGATTAAAAACTATCGTTTTTTAGACGAATCCATGACTATGAACATGAAAAGGGACCTGAAAGCTACAGTCACTCATACCACACATTCCTATCCATTGATTCTTTAATTTTTGCTGAAATCAACAAATGATTTCACAACTTCTACTTCCTCCATACTCCAACACCTCCTCCCCATCCTCATTCCCAGCTGTCGATCCTTCCTACTTCACTGAAAATGGAAGAAATCAGAAGTGAATGTTGACGAGCTCCTACCCCCACATCCACCTATCTGTTAGCATCTGCAGGCACATGCTCTGCTTCCTGCCTGTGAGGAGGAAATTTCTGCCACAGAAGAAATTTACATTCTCCATTAAAGGAAAGGCCCAGACTTGTCCTCTGGATCCTGTCCACCTTTGCCTACTCAAGGACATCCCACCAGCACTTGTGCCTTCTCTACTAGGTCATTCCTAGCAGCATATAACATGAGGATATTTTTTCCCATTGAAAAAAGAAAAAAATAACCTTCTATCGACTCCACTGCTCCCTTTAGCTACCCTCCATTTCTTTGCTTCTCATTGCAATAAAATTCCTTTAAAAACTTGCCTGTCCTGCAGTCTCCAGTTCCTTTCCTCCCATTCTTTCTTTAACCCACTTCAATCAGGCTTTCATCTCCAACAGGCTGCCAGTGCCACCACAAGGTCACCGGTGCCTCCATGTTGCTAAATTGAATGGCCAATTAATCCTCAGTCACAGCATTTGGCACTTCCCTTCTCCTTGTCACAATTTCTCTCCAGGGCTTTCAGATGTCTTCTCTCCACTGTTGTTCCTCTCTCTCTTCTGCTGGCTCCTTCCTTCTCCTTGACCTCTTAATACAAGACTAACCCAGGCTCAGTGATTGGTCCTTTTCTCTTCTCCATATAAACTCACTCCTCGTCTCATAGCTTTAGGTACCTATATAAATATGTTTCGCTACTTACATTTGCAAAAAGAAACACAGGAAAGATATCAGAAACTAATCAGACTGATTGCCTACAAAGATTAGGTAGGTATGAACAGAAAGGAAGAGGGAGAGTGAGACTTTTTTGAGCGTACCTTTGTGTTTTAAGCCATATTAATGTTGTACGTACTCAGAAATAATGATAATAAAATCAACTAGGATAGGGGAAACCTCTGACATGGAAACAAATAAAAATTATATTTCGAATAAGTAAAATACCCATACTGAAGGGGGGTGAGTAGGAATGAATTAACCTAAGTAATTCTTCTTTAGACACGGTCTTCCTATGTTGCTCAGGCTGGAGGACAGTGGCACGATCATAACTCACTATAACCTTTAACTCCTGGGTTCAAGTGATCCTCCCGCCTCAGTCTCCCAAACTATTAGGATTACAAGCATGAGCCACCATGCTCAGCCTAAGTAACTTTTGAATATAGTATTTAGACTACATACCCTCACATAAAAGAAAAAAACCCCACTATAAACAGATACTGAACTCCTGTTATTAGGTTTATTTTTTACAGTGGTATGACTTAGCAATTCTGGAACTACTTTCAGTATACTCTAGGATTAGGCAAATAAGTAAATATATTTGAGGACAATGGGAACAGGTTTCTCACTATCAGAAAAGGGAGTTATAAATATGGAAAGTAGAAGACTAGAATGAACTCTGTGTATTAGAGATATCAGAGCCCATGTATTTTAAAAGGTAGATACAGATGTGTGAGCCAGTGTGTGAGTGTGTATGGGTGTGGGTGTATACACAAATAGCCATGATATCCAAGTACCAATGAATGTGCCTAATGCCGAATGCTCCTTGGGAAAATGATGATTTAAGAGCTGGGTCTAGGAAATTACAAACAAGCCTGGAACATCTTGTTTGTTTGAAAGTAAAGCAGTGCTCAAAAATGACAGACATGAATTAAAAGGACACAGCAGCTAGTTTGAAGGGGCTCCTACTAGCCAAATCTAGGATAATTTGAGTATCAAAATAAATAATCACAGTAATGGATTGTAGTCTACTGAATGAACTGCCAATTCATGAGACTATATGGGTATGAATAAATAAATAAACAGGAGGAGGAAAAACTCTTCCTCATAGAATGCCAATGAATGTAAAAGGAATAATGGAGTTTGAAAATCACCATTTGATAAACATCATCATGCTAATTGATTCAGGCAAGCATCACCAATGGATAATAAAACTAGGGGCTGAAAGTTTGATGAAGAATAGGATATTTAGATAGTCTTAAATTATCTACTCAAAAATAATCATTGATTAAAGACGGAAAATAGTAATTTTACAGTGGAAGAACCTGACAGATGCCATCTTTACCTTGTGATCCAAGTGGTGTATATTATCAGTCATGGTACCAATCAACATCATGTGCCTCCTGATGCTATGTCCCAGCTATTCCCTCAGCCTAGAAAACTCTTTCCCCAGATACCTTCTTGGGTTACTCACTCATTCCACTGAAATCTTTCTCAAATGTTACCTTCTCAAGGAGAACTACCCTGACCACTCTTTTAAATACAGCGACTGGCCCCCACTCCCTTCATCCCCCTTGTGTTCCTCTACATTTTCTTTTTTCATAGTACTTAACCAGTTTCGTTACTTTCTTCTCTATCATATTTGTCGCTTACTATTCCCCATCCCTGAAAATGTAAATATCCACAAGGACAGGTGAAGGAAAAATGCAGGTTTCCCATTACATAACAAAACATTGTGCTGTGCTAGCCTTGAGTGCTCAGCAAAGTTGTTACGAAATAGATGAAACAGGTACCAAGATAACTACTGGGCTCAGGAAAGGTGCCCAGCACTTTCTTGAGTGTCTCAGCAATTTCTTTTCTTGAAGTGGCCAGCTCAAACCAGCCCTGACTGATTTAGAGCTGCTTTGGCTGTCCTATAGTGACTTTTAGCTAACTGTAATACTAAAATCACCACCTAGTGAAAAATTATAATATCATCAACATAACATGGGTTGCATGACAGTGCATGATGGTGGTACTATCATATCACGCAGGTGGTACTATCACCTGCATGATATGTTTCACTGTGAATAAGCAATGATACAATGTAAAAACTTTGTATTACTCACTGGGAAGAGATTTAAGGCAATACCACAGGGTGGGCAGATGGCAGATTTTGCAGGCAAGAAAGCTCCTATGGAAGAAATCCCTGTGCCACACAGGAACAAGCGCTCTAGTAAGTAACCTCTAATAAACTCATCTAACTCATCAAGCTGGCCTTGTTTGAATCATTCTTTGGTCTCTCGGTTCAGTCTGGGGGGTGGATTTTCTACAGTGTCCCTGGATTTTCAGGAAACAACCAGGATCTGTTTTGTTCACCGATATATCCTAGGAGCCTAGAAATAATTCCTGGCACTTAATATGTGTTCAATAAATATTTGTTAAATGTTGAATGAAAGAAAGTACTAGGCAATTGAGAGCAACTACTATCTTGGCCATATTTGGGATCAGAGGTTACTCCAGATTTTCTACATAGAGAGACTTGGGATAGCAATTTTGGAAAGAAGGAGGGTGGGTGTTGTCTTGAGATGTGTCTGAACAGCAAGCACATTGTATTCATTTAGATGGTATATTCATTTGGAGTGGTGTGGGGAGGAGCTGATGAAGAATATGGAGGAATTAATGTCCCCTCTCACACTGCCCTTCCCTTGAACCCCAAGACAGCTTTCATACCAATTCACAGCTCTATGTCACACAAAAAGTACTTTCTATTCTTGAAATGGTACATTTTAATTCCCTGTTCTTAAGACATGATTTAAAAGTAGGTCCTTACCTGCACAGTTGACCACACGTATTTCCAGTTCATTTGGGAATTCTGATTGTAGCAGTAACAGTCTGACTGAGAAGTTTTAATTAAATCCATTTCCTTCAAAGTTTTACACCTTTGAACTGAAAGATGGAAAAGGAAATATATTTTTTCTAAATCTTTAATTGCCCAGGATCTTTTTCTCCCCCCCCACCACACACAAAGATAAAGGTAGCAGTTTTAACATTCTGCAACCCATAAATTCTTCTACATGATAATTATAGTCCTTCAGTCTTTCCAGCCTAGCAGGAGGCAGAAAATACCACAGCCCAGTGTTAATACTGTTATGCTATATGGAGGGCACTGTAAGAGCAGAGGACAAGCACTTCTTCAGTCCCGGAATAGATGGCAAGAATTAGGGTAGCTTCCCAGGAAAGATAGATGAGACATGAGAGGAGGACTGAAAAGTAAATGAGACAGAAGTCAGGAGGCAGGGGGGTGGGGGAGCACAGCAAGTGTATACAGAATTATGAAGATGAGAGAAATCACGGAAGTAGTTCAGTTTAGTGATACCTGATTATTATATTGGTGAGGAAGCAAGGATAGAGTGTAGGAATACACCACCTGCAGCTGGAGAGGTCAACAGTGGTTACCAGTATACTAAGGAATGTGAACTTCATCCTGAAAGCAGAGCACTGAAGGATTTTAGGTAATTATCAGAGTTTCAGCAAGAAACTACTGACACTCAAAAGGGTATAACTGAAAAGAGTTCAGTAAAGATGTGGACAGGGTTATGGTGCTAACAACAAGGTACTGTGAAGTTCCCAGGCACCAACAACAGCAGGAAGCTTTTAAAAGCCTCGTTCTGAAATGGCAAGGGGAAGACCTTATGCTACTGGAGCCACTGAAGCTGAAAGGACAGCTGTCTCATGGAATGCAGTCACTGCCAGAACTTCCATGGAATGGTGGAGTGAGGGCACTGCAACCTGTCTTTCCTGCCTTCCCATCAGTACCTTGAATTGATCAAACCTGACAGGAAGACAAGAGGACAAAGAAGCCCAGATGACACAGTCCATAGAGGTCAGCTTCCGGCACTGAGCATAGCAGAGAAGGGCTCAGCATGGAACTGCAGGAACAAGCAGAGAATGACCAGCTCAATAAGGAAGTGACGGGAACACATTTGTATTTTGGAAAGCACATTCTATTAGCAGGGTGGAATATTAGATCAGAAGAAGACTGAAGCCAGAAGAACCACTAAGGAGGCTACTGAAGCAATCTAAGTAAGAAAAGGACTAAGAGAGGAGGGAGAAAAACAGACTAAGAGGACTTAGGAGGTGAAATCAAAAGGCTTTGGAGATTTGTTTGATGAAGGAGAACAAGAAGATGATGTGAAGTTCCTGGTGAGTGGAGAGATAGTGAGGTCCTTCACTCTGATAAGAAATACTGGAGAAGAAGCAAGTTTGTGCAGGGAAAGGGGATGAGTTCAATTTTGGACATATTGAATTTTCGCTGGTGGGACTACATGAAGATGGACAAGTCTACAGCACAAAAGAAATGTGGCTGAAGACAGATGTAGACACATAAATGTGTGTGTATAATATATAATTAAATATAGAATACAATATAACACAATTGAGAGAGAGAAGTGCTGTATAACAGAGGGTTAAATGTAAATGCCATAAGAAAATTCATTTTCTTCTGTAGCCACTGCTGTATTTGGATTTGAAATGAAGTGGGATGAAAGTCATAAATTCTTCTGAATCCAAGATGTGGTGTCACCATCACATCTGTCAAACAGGAAACAGGAACAAGGAACACTTATGAATATACATAGAAATGGGCCTTACACTCAATCTCCAACTCCTCTAAGGAAAGTGTGGTCAGCTGTTTCTCCAGAAAAACCTGAAATGAAGCTAGAAAAGTGCTACACCAAAGGTGGGGAAGAAATGTGTAACCAGTAATAACTAGTCAACAATTACATCCATTTAGGGAATAATATTGAATAAACTCAGATAGGTCCCTGTCCTGGCTTGAAATGTACTTAGCATTAAGTTGAAGAAAAGTGAAGATAGACTTGGGAAAAGGATCCTAGGAATGCCCACGACCTCCTGAACCACAACTGAATAAAAGTCAGGGTCCTCAGGTGGCTACACAAAGCAGGAAAGTTATATGAGGATCTAGCATTTTTCATTGTGACAGCCAAATCATTTCATCTTCATTCTTTACACTGTAATGCAATGTATACATTTTTAAATATATCAACAAATTTGCAGAGTTTAAGAATTTGAAATGCAAACATAAGAATCCAGATAACAATCAGGTTTCAAAAAAACATGAGAAGGAAACTCTAGAGGTTCTTTGTTAAATACAAGATACTAAAAATTAAATATGTGCTGCTGCATGGTCTGTCTATGCAAAGGAGAATTCAGAACCAGTGCTACAAACACACAAAGAAACCAATACCGAGGTGTGTTCTTAGGTATATCTGAGATGGAAATGACTCCTGGCCAAGAGCAGCACAAGGAAAGGTTAGTCCCTGGATGTCAAAGGGCTAGCAGCTACTATAGACAAGACGTATGTCAGGAAGGCAGCGTAGAACCTGGAAGAACTTGAGAAACTACGATGAGAAAACACTAAATGCCCCCAGCTAGGGAGCAGCAGAGATGGGATCTGGTCTCTGGATCCGCCTTCCCATATCCCATGTTCTGCCTCTGCACATCCTCCCATGGGGGTCTCTGAGCAGGAACCAGTGCTACAGTTAAGAACTTTATACTGGGAGTCCTCACTGAGAAGGAGGAATTCCCACCTATACTTGGAAAGGGAATGCATTCTGCAGGGCAGGTGAGGAGGATGAGGTCTCAGGTGCATAGACCCAGCGGCTCCAGACTATTATAATAACGTTTACTTGTGGATAGTTCTTTCTTCACCACACATGTGCTCAGTGTTCAGAAGACTTTTCTCATGAGTGCCTCCAAGGTCCCTCCTGCAACTCCTAGTGATCTCTGCTACATCAAGGACCGAATCAACTCCCATAGAACAGTTAGTGGTCTGAGAAAATATCCTCTTTGTGGGACCTGAGATTTACAAACAACCACTACCTTCAAATGAGGCTTTTTCCCTTTGGTCCTAAGTCTCTCTCCTAAATCATTAATACCTATAGCTCTCAAGAGCAAGATGGTGCAATTTAAGTATAGTATAACACTGTAATTTGATTTTAGGAGTAATTGCTTCTGTTACCCAAGACACATTCACATTGCACTTGGATGACTGTAACAGCATCCTAGTTGGTCTCCCTGCTTCCAAAATTGCCCTACAATTCCCTCCACAATCTATTCTCCAATCATCATACAGATCTTTTTAAAGCATCCATTAGAGCACATATTTACCTGCTCAAAACCCTCCAATGACTTTCTATAACACCATAATAAAATCCCCCTCCCTTCCAAGGACCCCAGTGCCTCTGTGACCTTTCCTCCTCCACCTTCCCTCCCACTCGGCTGCTCTAGCCACACTGACCTTCCTGTCTTCCTCAAGTTGCCGACACACATCTATCTCAAGTTTCCTCAGCCTGCAACCTTCTTCTCCCAGATCTTGGCAGGGCCTGTGCTTTCTAACAACTGATGTGTTTGCTCAAGTGTCTCCTTCTCAGGAAGCCCTTCTTTGACTCCACTGTCTAAACCAGCATACCCCAATCACTTCCACCTGCTTTCTTCTTACTCTGGTTTCTTCTTTCTTCTTATTACATATATATTTGTTAGCTTCTACTGTCTCCACAAGTCAGGGACATTGCATGTTCATTGCTGTAACCCCCAGCACTTAAATATTGGCCTTTTGTGTGTGGCTTGTAATTTGAGAGGGTTAGTGGGTTATTTGGGCATGCAAGGCCTAACCAGTGAAAGCCCAATCTTTGTAAGAGCCTAGCCAGGGCCAGTCAGCACCATAAAAGCGAGTGTACTCCCCTTGAAACCACTTGATGAAATAGGACACCCTCTGCAGCCTGTGCTATTGCCATCCCATCTTCAGAATCCACACAACATAAGGGCCATTCTGGAAGGCACAGACTACACCTCCCCTTACTCTACCCCATCATCAATGTACCCTTAACTAGAGGGTTTAGCACGGTAACCCTTTATATCCCCTGGGCTAGGGACCATCTTCTCACTCTCACTGGACAGAGGAGGGCAGGAGGAGGCAAGAGGTGACAATAAGCGTGTTTTTGTTTGACTCACATATTCTGTATAAAGAACCTCCCAGTTAGAAAAAATGAACTTGTTCTGAATTTCCCTTCAGTCTTCAACCAGATTAAGGAAAGCACAGATTGCGATAGGTTGTCCTGACTATTGGTACCTATAGACATGCTACTAAAAGCATGTTGCAAAGTGTTTCCCTTGGAATTCTCCAGAGTGGCCTCTGGCTTTGAGGTTAAGCTGATGTGCAAGTACACAATACATGGGATGATACAGACAAGGAGTCAGCATTTTGTGGTGTTCTCTGGTTACACTTTGTTCTTATAACCTCTCTCCTGAGGGGAATGCATCATGCATCCCAATCAACCCACACAAGAATTCCTTAAAAAAAAAAAAGAATTCCTATCTAAGGGACCAGCCACAAGCCTAGCCCCAAGTGAGTTAATGTGAACCTTAAGCCATGGGCTAAATGGACGAGGCATAAGAGAGTGACCTGTGGTACAATTGTTCTCAAGGCTGGCCCACTGCCTTCCTAGAGAGACCAAATCTTTTAATCTTAAATTGATTATTAAGGTTATGTCCTTCCTAGGACTCTCTTCCTCTTAGCAATCTTCTTCTAGACATTCTACTGTTCAGTTTCTATTTCCTTATATCCAACTGAAGGTAGGAAATAGAAAACATAACCAGTTTGACTGCTTATTTGGACTCTATCACTAAGCCCTGAAGGTTATGAAGCTGCCTGCATGTCTGCAAGTTTCATTTATGCATGGGGCTCCTAGTTATTCATGCCAGTTAATTCTGCTAGGATGGAACCTCCTGGTGGCAGATATAGGCAAACCCAAATACATTACAACAACAATCCTTTATAATGTAATCCAGAAAATGAAACAGAATCTCTAGGAATTTATAAAATGTTGTAATATTATTATTCATTTGGTCAGATATTTACCTAGGGAGAGCTACTGCTTCCACTTGAGGCTGAACTATGTCCCCACCCTAGAGGGTGCTCCATAACAGGGAGTCCCCCAGTTACAGACCAGATATGTTCCTAAGAATGTCTTTAGGTTGGATTTTTATGTAACTTGGGTCCCTATGAACAGCCCATATATAGTAATAATAATAATGATGATGACAATATTATAATGGCTCATATGTAGTAATAAATAATACAGGGTAATACAATAATAATAATATCCCTGTACTAAGTTACAGAAATTATTGTGCTCTTTCAATTCAAACAAACAATATAAAAACTTACATACACAAAAAGTTTAGATAGGAGATAGAAGAAATTTCAAAAAAGAATATTCAAGGTTAACACTCACCTAATGTTGCACCAACACTAGACTAATAGGAATGTTATGCTTATTTTGATTTTTAACCAAATCAATAATAACCTTTCTATTTCAATAATTAATCCATTACACTGCTTAGTAACAACTGATGCTTTCATTGGAGCACTGCCTTTCACATGTTCTATTATTCTCACTTTATTCTTTATATAATCATTCTAATAGTCCAGTGACTAAAGCTTAACGCTTTCCCAGTGAATGATGGTGTCTGGCCTTTCTCCGAAAGCTTAATTATTTCTACTTTGATTTCCATTGTAATCATCTTTCTTTTTGCTGCAGGCTCACCTGGACTTGCTGTGGACTTTCACTCTGGAGGCGTGGTCACAAGGCTAAACACAGACTCACAAAATTGAATGAAAAAAATTAAGACGAAAGTGATGCTGTGTAAGCAACCATTTAAACAATGAGACTAAGCCGTTACCGTAAAGATGTTTCACCAATGAACCGCTTACGCCATGCAGGTTTGTTTACATGCGTGGAAGAAACTAGTTCCCGAATTATTAATTTAATTGTTCAATTATAAATTATCCTCATGGGAAACCTTGGGATCCTGTTCATAAGTACCGAAAGTTGTAAGTCTGGTCATCTGTAACCCAGAGACTGCCTAGATTCACTTCCTCAAACCTGATTCAGATCAGAAGAAAGGTCTGAAAGTGTGGGCTCTCTCAGCTCTGCCTCATCTCCCAAGCACTTAGGAGTATCTGTGGGACCAACCTTGAGTACCAACCTTACTACAGTAAGCTGATCTCTAAGCCCTGGAATGAGCATTGCCTCCCTTAACGCCCTGCAATCCTCATCAGGCTCTCTTGATCCTTTCAATTAATCTGACTTCTGGAGAACAGTTTATTTCTGGACAGTATGCCCAAGCCACTAAAACAACTACATATTTACATTAAAGATTCAAGTCAAGGTTACCTTAACCAATGAAATAGATCCCTTAGTTCACTTCAAATACCACTCAGTTTATAAACACTCAATTAATCTAATTTTAGGATTACATATCTTATAAATAAAAAGAGAGCTGCATATCACTTACTTGAATTAATAAATTCAATCTAAAATACCTCCTTTCATAGTACTTTTGTCACTTATTAGTTTTCTTAAATATATAAGTATATATTTAAGTTAAAGAGTTTAGTCATATATACAGTAAAAATATTCAGTCAAAACTTCAGAAAAGAGCAGGTAGTACTTAAACCTACTTATGGAATATACTAAAAATAAAAAGCACAAACACTTTTCAAATCTTAGACCCTAACCTCAACATAAAAATATTACACCAATGTTCCTCCTGAAAACTTAACCTTACATGGCCCTCATGTGGGAAAAATCTTCAGATAAAACTATAACAGAATAAAAAGATAAGACTTATTCTCCATTTGACCTATAGCTGCTTTTCTTTTGGGACAAGTAAGGGGAGAGAGAAAGAAGAGTAGGAAAAATAAGAAGCAAGATTCTAACAAACCTTATTTGGTGAGAGTTCAAATAGAGTTAGGATTTTTCTTAGTATTTTTTTTATAAATTCTTGTAATTTTTTTGTAACCACTTGTAAAGGAGTTAACAAGTGGTACCAGAGTTACAAAGGTGGTAACTATTCTATTAATCTCAGTATTTTTTTAATCTGAATATCAATCTCGATTTTTATTTCTCCAAGAATGTGAGAATACATGCTAATGTATATTCAAATCTGATTTTAACTTCAAGCACAGATTTTTCCTCTCCACAGATGAATTTGAAAGCTGTGGTTTCAAATGACCTATTGTTATAGTTTAGGTCTAGGAAGCCATTTCCAGGGCCTGAACTTCATCTCAGGGCAAGACATAGTTTCTAGGGAACTCACTCACTGTTTGCAAATTATGGGCAACTCTTGGCTTTAAGTTTTTCTTCCTTTCAGCCAGACAACTACCTGCCCCTCCTGTCTCAACTGCTTCTGACATTCCTCCAAATAGGATGAGAGAAAACCAGCCTTGGTCTGGATGTTTTCCATTCCACTGAAGGGTGTGTGTACTCAAGACAAAATTTTAGACTAGGAAGGGACCTTAAGTATTAATATCACCGAATCGAAGTATCATCTAATCTCATATTAAGGAAGGCCCTTATTTAATGAATGGAAATATCAGCTCTTTCATCTCAGGGTTCTTCATAAAACCGCAGCCTTTTGGAGCAGCAATGGTTCTTAGACCTACTCTAATACAGAGCTTCCAACAGTGGCACTGACATACTACAGGATCCTGGATGCTTCACAGTCTGCTTTGTAAAGCCTTTTTGGAATTGCAAGTACCACTATAGGGCTAAAGAAGTTGCCTTTTTTCTTAGCTGTGAACTAGAATTTCATCACTCAATGGTATCCTGCATGTCCCAAAAAAGCATCTATGGGTATCTTTAATTAACAAAATAGAGAAGTGAGCTATTACCACTAAATGTGTTCAACACAAAAACTTGAAAAACACTGGGTTCACTGAGGCAAAAAAAAAAAAAAAAAAGATGAGGAAAATATTGGAAACTATTCAGCAATAAAACAGCTTCATTTTAATGATGAGAACTATGGTCCACAAAGATTATGTGCTGGGACCAAGGTTATACCACAAGTTGTGGCTAATTATAATGAGTGAACTAGAATCCAAGGTTCTGGGTATTGATCTAGGGCTATGTCTAATTTTCCAGCTGCTGCCATGCCCAGAAACCCTCCTCCTTAGACAGATTTATGTTTTATTTTTTCACTAACATAATACTTGTTACATTTCTTACTACTAAGCCTTTGTTTCTTCATCTGTAAAATGGGTATATAAATGGTAGCTTCCCCTATAGGACTTCCATGAGTATTAAATACAATAGATAATGCAGTTATAATGTACTTGTAACACTGCCTAGCACATAGTAAACACTCAGTAATGTGTGTTCAATGAAAACTGGTGTAGAACCGTTCCTCAAGGTACAACTCACTGCAGTTGTGGCAGAATTTGATACCTGCCTACTCAACATCCCTTCTCTCCTTCATCTTTAGACAAGGAGCCCTGATTTCATTGGAGGGAGGGCCATACCTAGCTAAAACGACACACTTGGCAGCCTCCTTTGCAATCAGGAGTGGCCAGAGCAATGAAGGGAAATTGGTGGAGAGCACATCCAGGAAATCTTTTAAAGGATTTTATGAGGGGGGGAAGAATGAGACAGAAATGTTAAGCTCGAGTTAAACTGGTAGCAGTTCTGCAATCAGAACTCAGTTTTCTGACTTCCCTGTCATTCCCAAATCGTTGTCCAGTGTGCCAGGATCTTGAGAACACTCCATGGGACAGCCCATAACACTATGAGCAGCCACCGTGTGTTTCCTATGAGCCAGGCACTATGCACACAGTGAACACAACAGTCCTGTGAGGTCTAACACCATCTGCGTCTCACTAGAGTTCACGAGTCAGGGTAGGAGAATTTCGTTTCGATTCTAAAGCCGAAGCTCTTACCTTCTCCACTGAGTCCAAAGGAATAGCTAGACAGAGGAATAATAAGGTTTCAACATAAACTGATGCCCTGTACTGAAAGTCTGGGGACGAGGGCCAGCTGTGGCCGTGAGGAACTGTGGGACCTTGGACAAATTAAAACATATCTGAGTTCGGGTTGCTTCAGTAAGACGGGGGAATTGGGCCAGACTTTGAATTGTGCTGCTGCTTCTAGTCCTAAAATCACAACATGTCCAGATGCCAGCAGAGGGGCCAAGGAAGTCCAAGAAGACCGGAAGTGCGCCCGAGAGCAAGCCGCGCCCGCGGGGTGACCCCGAAGCCAGGAAGGGAAGCGAGCGCGCCGCCGCCGCCGCCGACGCCGGGTGCCCGCGTTACCTGACAGCGCCGCCGCCGCCTCCTCCCTGCACATGGCTCCCGGGGGCAGCGTGGCCAGGGGCGGCAGCCAGAGCAGCAGCCACCACCGCCCTGGGCGCGGCCGCATCCCCCCCGGGGCTCAGCTCCTGGTGACCCGAGCTCGAGCCCTCGGGGGCCAGCTCGGCCGAGAGGAGAGGAAATGGCGCGCGGCTTCGGAGGAGGCGGAGGGGCGGTGAGGCCCGAGCGCGGGAAAGGCGGCGGCCCCGCCTCCCCGGGGCGAGGAGTCCCGCCCATGCTCCCACCTCAGCCCGCCGCGGCGGCCCGGGCTCCGGGGCCCCGGGGACGCTCTTCTGGCCCCAGCGTTCGCCAGGCGTCCCGGGCCTCGACTTGCCCTGGAGGCCACTCGGCAGCGTCCCGCTGCTCTGCGCGCAGGGGTGGGGGCTGCAGAGAGGAGAGGGCCACTCACCTGCGAGTTTTTCTTAAAACATGCCTGACATGTGACCTGTGGGGTTTAACGGCTGAGTTCTCTGAGCTCCCGTGAGTGACAACACATTAATGGAAAGGCCCTTCAGCAAGCCCCTTTTTTATAGGTAAGAGAAATAAACAGTTTCTTTATTTTACCTTTCTATGTTTTTCTTTCACTTTTTTTCTTTTTTTGGTAACAAGCGACAACAAATTTGGTTACTTAAATAACATTGACTTGTATGTGTAAGCTCATAAACATACCATGTTCCAGAGTACAAAGGGACTGTAAAAATGTTCCCTCACCAATGTAACAATCAGGTATCTCTTAAAATTAGCTTGTGTTAAAGAAAATACATAAAGACGTATCTTAAGTGGTCTTAAAGTTGATAATTAGGATAGTTTTTTATAAAGAACATACCCTCTTCAGGCCCTGGAAGCTCATTAATTTGATTTACTGTTCCATACTTAACACTTAACTGAAACAAAAAGTCTTTTTCTCTTCTCTAATTCTGGTCTTTAGCTGAGATACATTAGAGAAATCAATGTGACAAAAATCATCCTTTTAAAAATAGTTCAGCCTCATTTCTCCTGTAAGTCTGAATAAGATGGACTGGGCTTTCCCTGGCCTCAGAGTGAGGTTTAACCAACTGCCTTAAATGCTTGGCACCATACGTACACCACATATGGCTTTTAAAAAGTTCAGAAATTTCCTTGTAAGATACTCTTCAAGGGGATGATTTTTAAAAATAAGCCATCATTTCTTGAGCTCCAACTATGTCTCACCCCTGAAGGCTGCTCTAGAGGAAGAGCAGAGGCCCTGATCCAGTTCTTCCCTATGTTCCCAGGTGAGGTGTGCACTTGCCTCATGCAGGACAGCTTTTTGACCTAACCATGTGCATTTCAATTTGATTTAATTTTGGATGGCACTATGGAAAGTGGCAAAAAAGAAACAGGTGGATTGTTGAATGACGAATGTGTTTTCCTGCATATGTATCTGGTAGAGAAATAAAAGAGCAAGCAGCAATGTACTAAATACTTAAAATACTTAATGTAGTAGATCTTTAGTAAATATCTGTAAAGAAGCTATATTGAAACACAGGTTCCTTTCTATAGGCTGGGCGCAGTGGCTCACACCTGTAATCCTAGCACTCCAGGAGGCCAAGGTGGGAGGATTGCTTGCGGTCAGGCATTCAAGATCAGCCTGAGGAATAGTGAGACCACTTCTCTCTACTAAAAGTAGAAAAATTAGCTGGACGTAAAAAAAATTAGCCTGGCGTGGTGGTGCATGCCTATAGTCCCAGATACTTGGAAGGCTGAGTCAGGAGGATCGCTTGAGCCCAGGAGTTTGTGGTTGCTGTGAGCTAGGCTGACACCATGGCACTCTAGCCCCAGCAAGAGTGAGACTGTGTCTCAAAAAAAAAAAAAAATCTTTTCTGTAAAATAAAAATAAATTTTTTCCCCCAAATAAGAATATTAGGAGGTAATAGTTCTGTCACTGGGGAATAATCATGAAACTCCGCCCTACTTCTCCAAATCTTTCTCTCCTATGAAAACCAACCTTAGCTACTAGAGGAAGGTCAGGAAACATTGCCACCAAAAGGGTTGTGGCAAGATCCCTTGCTTCTGGACAAGATACAGAAGCACAAACCCTCAGCCCCACAGCAGCAGAAAATACTAGGGCTCAGTGTCCTGAACTGATTCAAAGTAGAGGGTTGGCTGCTGTTGGGAAACCCTCTCTCACATGAGACACACCACAGATACAAGGAAGGATTTGGCTGCAATGGGGAAAAGAGGCAGAAATACTGAGAAAGCCCCACATCTAAGGATCAGGTGTACAGAGCCTGTCTAAGATGAAGACAGGACCAGGAGTATGGAGAACCCCTTGCCCCGCCACAAGCCAAGCAGCAGTAACACCACCAGTCTGCTAGTGAAGAGGAATAAGAGTGTGGGGAGAGACCCCTCTGTGACATAGGCGTGCAAGGACTGCTGAAAGCTGAGGGACACTGAGAAAAACTCCCCAGCACTCCAGGTCCTACACTAAGACAACATAAGAATAATTCCCTGCCAGAGAAATTGAATGAAGCCTACAATGAAGTACAATGAAGGTAATGATAACAAAAAGAAAAGTCAAACTCAGCTTAACTCCTGACTAGATTGACTCAACCGCCTAACCCTATCAACATGACTGGAGAAGAGGCATATTCATTTATGGGCATAAATATTATTTATATCAGTCTTTACTTTTATCCTACATATGATATCCACCATTCAATAAAAAATTATAAGCCACCCAAAAAAGCAAGAAAATAAAAACCAAACCAACCGATCCATTTTCAAGAGGTAAAACAGAACTAGATTCAGATATGACTCATATGTTGGGCTATAATTAATATATTAAAGGAGCTAGTGGAGAAGATGGACAACATGTATGAATATGTATGGTATGTCAGTAAAGAGATGAAAATTATTTAAAAAGTGAAATGGGAATGCTAGAAATTAAAAACACATTTTCAGAGATGAAGAATTCCTTCAATGGGCTTGTCAGCAGACTGAACATAGCTGAGGAAAGAACTAGTGAACTTGAATATAGGTGAATAAAAATTATCCAAAGTAAAACACAAAGATAAAAAGAATTAAAAAAAAATAGAATGGTACATCTAAGAGCTGTGACAATATCAAGTGGTTTAATATACATGGGAATCCCAAAAGGAGAGAAGAATGAGGCAGGAAAAATATTTGAAGATACAAAGTTGAGAATTCCCCCAAATTAAGGAAAACAAAAGGTGAGAAAATCTTGAAGGCAGTGAGAGAAAAATGGCATGTTGCATATAGAAGGACAGAGATAAAAAAATCACAGCATACTTCTTGTCAGAAACTATGTAAGCCAGAAGAGAATGGAGGAACATTTTTGAAGTAGTGGAATTTAAAAATACTGTTAATCCAGAATTCTATACCCAGCTACAATATCTTTCAAAAATAGAAGCAAATGTAGGAATTTTTTTTTAAATGTTTCTACAGACTTTCACTAAAGGAAATGTTAAAAGAAGTTCTTCACACAGAAGGAATATGACAGCAGATAGAAATTTGGATCTACACATATAAATATATAGCTCTAGAAATAATAAAATGAAAATAAATATAAAGTTTTAAAATTATTTTAATCACTTTAAAAATAATTATCTAAAGCAAAAACAGTTGCAATGCATTGTGAAGTTTACGTCATATTTAGAATTAAAATGTATAACAGTAGTACTACAAAAGATGAGAGGAAAGAAATGGAAATGTGCTGTAATAAGGTTCTTACATCATGCATGAAGTGATTTAATAGTACTTGAAATTAGACTGTGATAAGTTAAAGATGTATATTATAAACTTTAGAGCAACCACTAAAGTCTTTCAAAAAGAGGTATAAATAATAAACTAATAGTGGAGATAAAATGGAATAATAAAATAATTGAAAACAAGGCAATAATATAGGAGAAAAAGGATAAAAAACAAATTGACAACTAGAAAACAATTAAAAAGATGGTAGAGTTAAATCCAACTATATCAATGATTACATTAAATATAAATGGCCTTAGCACCCTAATTAAAAGGCAGATATTGTCAGATTCTATAAATAAACTTCTATTTATGTATGATCTAAAGAAACCTACCTTAAATATACAGATATAGACAGATTAAAAAGAAATGGATGGAAAAAGACATGCCATAAAAAAACAATCAAAAGAAAACTGAGTGGCTTCATTGATATAGGACAAAGTAAATTCCAGGACAAGGAATACTGCTAGAAATTCAGTGGGTCAGTGTGGGGTCTAAGATTCTGTGTTTCTGATAAACTGCCTGATACAAGAACGAACTTGAGCAGCAAGTTTTCTTAGCACACTAGGCACATGTATAAATTGGCAGAATGAAAGCTTACAATATTATCCCTTTTTGATGTTCAAAATGATGAATAGCATATTAAATACTTTAAAATTCCTGCAGTAAAGAAACATACAGTAGGCAACCCCTAGATGGCCCTCAATGATCCCCTCTACCTTCAGGTCCTCATGCCCTTGTCTAATCCCCTCCCCTTGAATGTGGGCTGGAAATACTGGCTCACTTCTTTTGATTAGCATTTGGCAAAAGTGGTGAGATGTCACCTCCAAGATTAGGTTATAAAAGGCTCTGGCTTCCAACTTGATTGCTCTTTCTCACTTTCTCTTGGATCACTTGCACTGGGGGAAGCTAGCTACCATGTTGTAAGGGATCCCTGTGGAGAAATTCACATGAGTGAGGGGAATGTTGAATTTATCAAATGCTTTTTCAGCATCTATTGAGATAATCATATGGTTTTTGTTCTTATTTCTGTTAATGATGTATCATTAAATCTGTCAGTGATATATCATGTTTATTGATTTGCATATGTTGAGCCACCCTTGCATCTCAGGGATGAATCTTTTTAATGTGTTATTGAATTCAATTTGCTAGTATTTTGTTGAAGATCTTTGAATCTATGTTCATTGGTAATATTGGCTTGTAGTTTTCTTTTTGTGTGTGTGTGCCCTTGTCTGGTTTTGGTACCAGGGTAATACAGACCTTGTAGAATGAGTTTGGAAGTATTCTCTCCTCTTCAATTTTTTTGAAGAGTTTGAATAGAATTGGTAATAGTTCCATAAATGTTTGGTAGAATTCACCAGTGAAGCTATCAGTTTCTAGGATTTTCTTTGATGGGAGACTTTTATTATGGCTTTGATCTCATTACTCATTATTGGATTGTTAAGATTTTCTATTTCTTCGTGATTCTATCTTAGTAGGTTGTGTGTGTTCAGGAATTTATCTATTTCTTCTAGGATTTAAAATTTGTTGGTGTATATTTGTTCATAATAGTCTCTAATGATTGTTTGTATTTCTGTGGTCTTAGTTGTTATGTCTCCTTTTTCATTTCTGATTTTATCTATTTGTGTCTTCTCTTTTTTCTCAGTCTGGCTAAAGATTTGTTGATTTTGTATCTTTTCATAAAGGAAACTTTTACTTTCATTGGTCCTCTGTATTTTTTAAATTTTTATTTATTTATAGAGAGGATCTCACTCTGTTACCCAGGCTGGAATGCAGTGGTACAATTATAGCTCACTGCAGGCTT